GCCGCTGAGCTTGCGCGTCCAGAGCCTGTGCTCCGCAACGGGAGAGGCCACAACAGTGAGAGGCCCGCGTACCGCAAAAAATAAATAAATAAATAAAAAATAAATTTGTCATGATTTTAGGAAGCCTAAACTTACATAAAAAAATAGGACTAAGATAATAAAAGACAAAAATAAATAACATGAAATTGGCTCTAATCAGGGGCTGAAATATGCGGCTTAGGAAATAAGATTTTAAAAACTGACATTAGCTTATGTTATTGAGAATCAGAAAAGAGGTGGGATCATAAATTATTCGATAGGTAAGGACTGGTAGGCCGTGGGCAGAAAGAGACAAAGAGAAAACGCTATTCAAACAGGGGAATAACATGATCAAAGGCATAAAACAAAAACTTAAGAGTACCAGTGACAAAAGTAGCCTGGCACACTTTCATATAAGCAAAAAATGAAAGAAAACTCCTAATGAATAGAAAAGGGCCAGCTAATGAAAGACCTTAGAAACTTTGGACCCAGTTCTAATTGTTGAACAGAGAACAGGCAACAGAGAGACATTTTAAGATCACTTATCAAGTAAGATGACGTGATACAGGTGGTTCTGTATTTTAGAAAAACTAGCTGGGGTACATGATTAGATATAGAAGATAGAGAAAGCAAAGAGATAAAAACGGAGAGTATTTAGGTATTTAGCAGCACACTTCCTCCTTTCAACTTTGCTGGTTCTATTTTGAGACTAAATTTCTTTAGACTCAAATGTACCTTATAACTCTATGACATGACTTCTTAATTGTTATCTAAATAACCAAGGCTTGAAACACTCCTTGTTTTATTCCTTCCTTTACTTCTTGAACAGACTATTACCAACTCCTGATTATTTCCCCCTGAGAATGCCTTGTACTTTTATCATTCCCTTTCCATTCCTACTGGAAGTACCTTAATACAGGGCCTCATTACCTTACATTTGGGTTTCTGTTTCTTTGCCTCCAGCCTTTCCTTCCTTCATCTCAACGTATACCTTACTACCAGATTAATCTTTCAAAACACCCCTGCACTTAGGATCCCTTGCTCAGAAATCTCTGAAGGCTTCCTACTGCTTGAAAAAGCAGAACCTGAATGCCTTAACTGGCAATGGAGGGAGCCGGCAAGCTGCTCTGACATCACCATTGACTATCATTTTAAGGCCCAGCTCAAATCCCACCTCCTCACTAATCCCTCTATCATTAGTCTAGACTAGAACAGCTCTGTCCAACAAAAGTATAATGCAAGCCAGATATATAATTAAAAAATTTTTTCACAACCACATTGAAGTTTCACAGGTGAAATTACTTTTATTTAACCCAATATATCCAAAATATTATCATCTCAACATGTAATAATTAAAGAAATTATTGAGATTTTTTTTGGTACTGAGCCTTCAAAATCTAGTGTGTATTTTATAATTACAGCACACCACAATTCGAACTAACCACAATTTCAAGTGTGCAATAGCGACATGTAGCTAGAGGCTACTGTAATAGCAGAGATTTCTAAAATCTAAAATCAATGTTTTGGACTGTAGAGCACTGTGCTTTGCCACTCCTAAAGTGCAAGTTGGCACCATACTATTTTTATGTACATGTCTTAGGCTTTATTTAATGGTATCACCAACCACTTAGTCTCCTAGACTAAAAATTCTGAAGTCACCCTCTTATCACCATTTTGGCTGTCACCAGTTGAATCCTATTTGATATTTCAGAAATGTCTGACATCCTTTACTATCCTGCCTCAAAGGAGGCATTCATTACCTTACCTGAATGATTGCAATTTCCTCTCATCTAGTTTTCCTGTTCCAAGTTGATCTTCCACACAGCTATCAGAGAGACCACCCTAAAAAACAAATTTCCTCATGCCCCTTCCTTGTGCAAAGCAGTCCTTGACTTCCGGCTAAATACTGAATAAAATCTAAACACTTTCCTTGGAAAGCAAGGTCCTTCACAAGTTTACCTCAATCTCCCTGTTGCTTCACCAACCGCCCTTACACTGCATGCTCAAGCGCATTCATTCTCCCGCTCTCCCTAAGCATGCCAAAACTTCTCAAGTCTCTGCATCTCTGTACTGCAGCCAGGGATGACCTTCTCCTGAGCTTAGTACATTCCTTTTGACCCTTCGTGACCCAGCTCAAATATCTACTCCTTTATAAAGCTATTTTGGTGTCTCCAGGCAACGTTATTTATTTTTAGCTAGCACAAGTGGGCACAAAGAATATATGTTGAATGGACGTTAAATGTATGGGGGAAGAGTAAAAGTGAATCTTTTTAACTCCAATACCAAGCACAGCGCTCAAAGCAACATAAATGTGTACTGAAAGGAATGAACCTTCACCATATTATAAATTCCTTCCGGGCAGTGATTTCTGACGGATACCATTTCACCTTAATTATCTATCTGTTGATTGCTCTCTCAATAACGATCGTGCATGTTGATGACAACTGAGGGGAACCATGCAAAATCTACGGGAAAACGAGAGTCTGGGTTAGCACTAGAGCTCAAGTGAGAAAAGTCTCCTCCTGGTCAATTCCGGGAGAGCACGGGTTTCACAACACGGTCAAAGGGGTTCTAAAATTAAAACTTAGGGCATGGGCAATGATAATGCTGGCTCGCCTGGTCACAGGAAGCCAGCCTTGCCGGAGTTAAAATTATTCTGACCTCCTGTTTACTGAAGAGCATGTAAATACAGTAATGATGCTGGAAGCGCTCAAAGGAGATGCTGGGGCGGGGGGGTGCGGAGGGCCGAGGCTGTTTTAACAAAGCACTGTAATGTCTTAAAGGTCTCTGGAGTCGATTAACTAAAAAGAACGCCTACTTTGTGCCCAGTAGTCTCGTGATCTCTCAACCCGAAATGACGGGAAGACCCCGAGCGAGGAAGCTGAGAACAAGGTAGCCACAATGCTAAGAAGCCAAAGCTGGCGTCGGATTAACTCCTCCAGCGACGAGAGACTGAAAGGCCGGAGGGAAACAGCAAAAAGGAGGAAAGGAGAGTCTGGGAGTGAATCGTAGGAACTGCCACAAAAGACCGAGAGCTTTAGACACTTGGAGAAGTCACTCTCTTTCCCTCGCTGAACACTTCTGCCAGAAACTACCAGGACAGTCGCACCCGCAACCCTGGGGGAACGTCCGCGGCGGAGACCGGGTCGGAGTCGGAGCCAGGCTCTCCCCGAGGGCCGAGACGTTCCCTCCCCCATCCAAAGGCGCACTGCTTTCTTCCGCCCCCACTTGCCTCGTCAGTCCTCCCCCAACGCCGTCCACTGCCCTTCCCAACCCTTAGTCGCATCCAGGTTCAAGAGCGAGAAAAGATGAGGTTGGCTCAGCAGCCCCGGTGACGATCAGGCAGCAGAAGCCCCTCAATGGCGGCCGCCATTTTGAAACTGGAGGCGATCCGCGGAGGCGGGGAAACCCAGGGTGATACCATCTTCGGGGGTGGGAGGGACTAAGCTGGAGGAAGGAGGTGGCATTTACACCGAGTCTCGTCACCTGGGGCCGAAGTTTTATTTTTAAAGAATTTACAATGTGTTGAAGCTAAAAGAAATATGAGAAGAGTCAAGCAGTGAAGGAAGAAGAGGAATAATTTATCGGAGCCACCCCTCCCTTCGAGCGGGCGCGGCGAATGGTGGGTACCGAGGCCGCAGCTTCCGCCGGCGCTGGTGGCTGGGCTCACCGCCGCCCTAGGTCGTGGTCTCGTTGTTGTTCTCGAGGCTTCAGGTGGGTCCGGGATCTCGGGAGGTCGAGGCAGCGAGAGCCCCCTTTGTTCAGGCGGGGAGGGTGCATCTCTAGGAAAGCCGTCAGCGGCAGTGTGTACCTGCGGGTGGGGGTGGTCTGGGCCTCCCCGTGAAAGCAGCGGCCCACCTTCCCGAGGCTTCCAGCGAAGGAGAGAGGGAAAGGCGAGGAAATAGGGATTGCTTTGATGTGGGCGGCTGCGCTCACGGTTCCCGCCTGGCGCCTTTGGGAACGGGTACTCTGAGGCTGCCCTAACTGAAAAATATCTTTAGGTTCACGGCTCCTAGGCTGCAGCGGGGAAGGGACTGCTTCTTCGCGAGCATCTCCTGATTGGTCCAAGTTTCAGAGTTCTGCCTTCCTCGTTATTCAGGATTGGAAGCTAACCTTGCTCTCTTCTAAGTCTCCAACCGTCTTGAGCCGACCATTCCACAAAATACACACTTTTTCAAAACTTAATTTTTAAAAAAGTAATGCTTATGTTTGATTTCTCGGGCGTATACGTCATTAAGACGAGGTTCCAGACCTCAAGGAGTTCCGTTTCTCCATGCATCCAGAACTGCTTTTTATAGGTTAAGTCGACATTTTTTGATCACTACATATAAAGTGCTGTAGGGACTAATTAGAGTAGAATTAATTTTTTTAATGTCTAGTCGTCTATATTATTCCAGCGTGAATTCAGAGGGGCTTACAAAAATGCACACTATATACAATTTTCTTTTTAGAAGTTAAGCGGAAGAAAATTGGGTTGAAGAAAAGGTAATACAGGCATATCAAATTTTATCGCGCTTCACAGATAATGCTTTTTTAACAAACTGAAGATGTGTGGCAAGCCTGCATTGTCAAATGTTGGTTAGCATTTTTTAACAATAATGTGTTTTTTAGTTAAGGTATGTACATTGTATTTTTAGACATAATGCTATTGCACACTTTAAGTAGACTCTAGTGTAAACCTAATTTTTATGTGCACTGGGAAACCAAAAAATTCTTGTGACTCGCTTTATCTCTATGTTATATTCGCTTTATCGCGGTGGTCTGGAACCAAACTCATGATATCTCCAAGTTATGTCCTTATTAGGAAAAACGAGATAAAGCCGAAAGTAAGGTTAATATAAATGTTGACCTTTATACTTACTGTAAGAGACAGTAAAGCACCAATGAGCTTGGACCAAGGATCCAGACTGCCTGGGTTTTAATACCCGTCTGCCACTTACTGCATCTGTGACCTTAGGCAAGTTGATTGTCCCTGGATTTCCTCATCTGAAAAAAATATTCCTACTGCATTGGGGACATTGTATTAGTTAATACATGTATAGTAATGTGAGGATTACATGAATTGGTGATTGTGAAAAGCATTAAGAACCATGCCTTACAGAGAGTACTCTAAGAGTCAGCTCTTTCTAAAGGTAGGGGAAAAGTTTTGGATCATTTTGGTATCAAAGGATACATCATCCGTTACTCAATTCCCTAAGTCCATAAGATAAAAACGAGTTTGTTTTGTTTTGTTTCAGGAATAGCATAGCTACTCCCCAGTTCCGAAGTAAAAAGAAAATTTTTCTTGAGAGGTCTTCATATAAAGAAGACACTAATAATATGTACAGTGACGTTGAGGGCACCCATGTGGATGTCACTCTTTATCCAAGCCTAGACCTGTCTCATTAGAGATTGTCCCAGGTGCTTGCTGCCCTTTGCCCGTCAGATGAAGCCATTTTACTGTCTTGAGCCGGTGATCAGGATCCTGTCTACGTTCCCCCTCCTATCCTTTCTCTAGGGAATCATTCTTGCTCACTTTTTATGTCCATCAGTCTTTGTCTTCCCTGGTCATCCCTTTGTCTTCACAGTGACATACGCAGGACAAATTATGCTGAGTGCCACTGGGTCCCAAAGTCCATTTAGTAGTAGATTGTACAGTTGTAATATGAAATGCCTGTGGGGCTAAGATTTGCCATTTATGTCTTTGGGATGGAATCAGGCTTCCATCATGGTAGTTGAATCCTGTAGAGTCTCTGTGAGAGCCTGTGTACAGCAGGAGTCTCAAGGTCTTGGCTCATCTCTTCTGCTTAGAGTAAAGCCAGACAGAATTGCCTTCTGGCCCTGTTAGAGGAGTGCCAACAGTAATGGCTTATAGCCCACAGGTGGCCATGGGCTTATTTAAAAAGTCTCTGGCTGAGAGTCAGCAATTACTTTTTTTGTTGGTTAAATACAGTTATCTTACAGTCAGCTGTGCTGAGTGTTAGAATTGACACCTCTTAAGAAACTTGAGGAACCTAATAAGGACAGGTGGGAGAATAGATGACCCCCAGACTTCTCTAGAAACCTATATTGTCTAGTATTTTGTAGTTTAGTGCTTTCCGGGTTACATCATTTGATGAAGGCGTGCATTGTTATTCCCATACTTGACTGGCTCAAGTTTATAAAACAAGTGGCTAACTTGATCGGAATCACAAAAAGTACCTAAATGTTTATCAAACAGTATTTAAGGATCTCAATGCAAATAATGCTACTTAGGGAACGTACAATGCTAAGAGAACCACCATCTTCTAGGAATAAGGTAAGATTGGTTACATTTACATTTATATGTCCAAGAACTATTTGCAGCAAATCAGCTGGGGAGTTATTTCAAACATCTCATTTACTTACATCATAATTTTCTAGATCAGTGATATTCAGACTGGAATCTGCTGTGTGTAATATTACACTCTGTGAAAGACAGTATGTAGTCATTGTGTGACTTAACTTCATGTCTGTTTCCTAACCCAGTGCCTTTAGATAGTAAAGCTTGAGAAATAAAGAATTAGAATGTGTGTGAGAACCAGTATCCTAGAAGGAGCAGCAGGAATCCAGTCTACATAATCCTAGCAGAGTTCAGTGCTAAGCCCTTTTGTTAGCAGTAATGTATTATCTGTCCTGTCTTCTCAGCCATAATATAGGATTTATTTATTATAGATTCATGTGCATACATATGTATTTTTATTTCAACTTTAGATACAAATTTTTACAGAAAATTGATGATTCAACTGTGTTTTTATTGAATTACTGCAAATTCATTTTCCATATGATGACTTCTAGATCTTCTATGAAGAAGTCCTCCTCTTCTGCCTTTTAGAAGCTCTTCTTAACACTTAAAAAGTCTTAAGTACCATAAATATCAATTAGGGGAAGGTTCTCTACAAGAGGCATTTGGATATGATAGAAGGAGCTAGAGCTTTGGAATGAACCTGAGTTTGAATTCCAGATCTACACGTAATACCTATTTGGGTTAAACTGTATTCTTACCTGTAAAATAAGGATAACAGTATTTCGTGTTATATATTAGACGATATGATGGCTCTGGTACCTAGTAGTCATTCTACAAAAGTAAGTTCCTCTGTCCGCATATGTTTTGTAGAGTCATTTAATTGATATTCAGATCTGTTGTGACATTATTCAATATGATTTTTTTTTAATTTCTCATATGTTTTCATTTCCTTTCAAAAATTAGTTTTAAAATAATAGTTTTCAATAATTACAGCTTGAAAGAATTCTGCTTCTGACAAAATACTATTATATTTGGTTTAACATTGTAAGAGGTTCTAAAAATATTTTACAAATGTAAAGGTTCTAAGTCAATACTAGGAGGGTGCAAATATTCAGCTTTTGCAGGTAGAATTTTTTTAATACTCTCTCCATTCCTGTGTTAGATCACTGGTGGAGCTAGAAATAAAAGGTAGTAAATTGACTTCAGTGCAGTATAATTTTTATACTAATCATTGTACTTATATAATCTTCATCAAGTAGATTTTAAGTAGTATACTACATTCTGATGCCAAACAAATGTAAAGAGGCTTATTATGCTTTTAACATCTGTATCCTTCCTGTTTCAGATGTGATTTAAAAGATACTTCAAAGGCAGTTATATTTCTGGTCATTTTTTTTTATAGCATTCATGATGAACTTACTTCAGATTGTGCGTGACCACTGGGTACATATACTTGTCCCTGTGGGATTTGTCGTTGGATGTTACCTAGACAGAAAGAATGATGAAAAGCTAATTGCCTTCCGGAACAAGAGTCTGTTATATAAAAGGTTAGTTTTTGTATTTTTTTATTAAACCAACAGTCAGGTTTTAGAAGTATTCTTCTTAATGTCATTTGTGCCAAAATAAACAGAAGGGGTAATGTTCCCCCCTGAGGATTTAGTTTTAAGTGATATTATTTTGAGGTCTTGTTTGTTGCTTAATCCTTAGACAAAACTCTATGATTACTTTTGGAATGTAAATAAGTCTTTAGTTTCTGAACAGGCTATTTCACATCTTTGAAAGTCTTTTTTTTTTTTTTTTTTAAGTCAGAGTACATTTTAACCTAGAAACAGTCTTAAACCAGCTTGCCAAAGCCTCCTCTATGTACTTTAACATATATGATCATACACTGTCTTACTTAGGCCATGATGTAGCTGAAAACAATGGCACTAATTGTTGCTTGGTGCTGTGTTCTCAGCAACACTGGTTGAGACCTTTAGACATGGTGGTTGGGTGATCAAATAGCAACTGGCAGCTGCCTGGTCCCACTGTGTCTCTGGAGATGGCATCAGAGTTAGAGTTAGCAAGACAGGGTGTCTGCCACTGACTGTGCAGCCAGGCAGGAGGAAGCTCAAGGGACAAGAGAACCAAGTAGCAGCCAAAGGCGTTGTGTAGAGGAGGTTCCAGCCAGGGATTTCAAGAAAGATAAAATGAGCTAGAAAGAATATAAAAAACATTAAATGAACTCACTGAGAGGATAACTGCTTTCATATAAAGATAGACTAAGAAATTACAGTTCTTTAATCTGGAAAAATGAAGAGATGGTAAAAGTTTAAAATCATGAGAGAATAGAATGAATATGTTGAATCTAATAAAAACTTTTAAATGGGTCAGTTTAATACAATATAAAATACTGGATCCATATTCTTCTGACTTTCCCTTTTATCCTCTCATAAAAGTTTTATTTACACTTTTGCTTTTTCTTCCTTTTTTTTCTTTCCATGCAGGGAATTAAGACCCAGTGAAGAAGTCACCTGGAAGTAAAGGTTGCTGCTGAATTACAGAATGTTCACAGTTTTTAAATTATAAGAGAAATAAAAACACATTCATTACTTAATTTGAAGTGTGATTCTTTTTGTGCTGAAATAATCTTTCCCATTTCAAATAACAGACACTTAGTAATTAAAAAATAATCACTGAATCATATGGCTCAATTTTTCAGAAAAATTTTTTCAAACATGTTCTTCAAAGGCACTCTAAAAGGATGATGCTAGGATTTTATTTGGCAGAAATCAATAGCTGAAAATTTTAGTGACCTTGAATTTAGCAAAGATTTCTTAAATACAATACATAAAGCATGAACCAGTTTTAAAAACCAAGACATTGTACTTTATCAAAATTAAAAACTTCTTCAAAAAACACAAGGGAATGAAAATGCAGCCATAGACTAGGAGAAAATATTTGCAAAACATACACACAACAAAGAACTTATATTTAGAATATGTAAACTCATAACTTACTAATAAGACAACCCGATTTTTAAAAAGCAAAAGATTTTAACAGACACTTCGCCAAAAAAGGCATATGAGAATGGCATATAAGCACGTGAAAAGATGCTCAAATCAGAAGTCACTAGAGAAATGCAAATTAAAACCACAATGAGAAACCACTACACACCTATCAGAATGGTTAAAATTAAGGAGACTGATCTTACCAAGTGTTGGCAAGGGTGTGGAGCAACTGGAACTTACACCCTGCTGGCAGGAATGGAAAATGTAGCTGCCAGAAGTTGCACCGCTTTGGAAATCAGTTTAGCAGTTTCAAGCTAAACATGCACCTACCATACGACCCAGCCATTCCATTCTGAGGTATTTACCTCAAAGAAATGCATATATGCCAAAAGAAAGCATATGTCCACACAAAGATATCTACATGAAAGTTCATAGCAGCTCTACTTGTAATAGCCAAAAATTAGAGACAACCCAAGTGTCCATCAACACAGGGATAGATAAATTGTATTAAATCCATATAATGGAATATTACTACTCGGCAATAAAAAGAAATGATCTATTGATACAACATAGATGAATTCCAAATTAATTATCCTGAATGAAAGAAGCCAGACAAAAAGCACACACTATGTGATTCCACTTATATAAAATGTTAGAAACTGCAAACTATAGTAACAGCAGATCAGTGGTTGCCAGGGAGTGGTCCAGGAAGGGGCTGGAGTAATCATTTTCTTGATTATGGTGATGGTTTCTTGGGTATGTACATAAGTCATCTGTTATATTCAAGTACCTCTTCTTGGAAAGCAAATTCTGTTTCAGGTAAGCTTGAATTTAGGAGAAGTGAAATTACAATGAAATGATACTCCCTTATCACTGATTCTTTTCAGAACTCAGGACATTTAAGATGACACACAAATTTTAAAATCTCAGTTGTTTGAAATTCTGTTAAACTATTTGGGGTAACAAAATTTAGGCCAGTTTAAAAGAGACCATGTTCAAGAAGATAGATATAACTTTGTGTCATCTTGCTTGTTAACATAAAATTTCAATGAGGTAGATTTAGAGATAAGTTGAACTGTCCAAGGTGAAATAGAAGTCTCCTGGAAGTGCATCTATTTTATGTCCTCTGTCTCCAGGAACTCCTTGATTGGCTCAGTAATCACTGTCTCCTACTGAACTATTGTAATACTTGTCTGTGCCCCCAAAATTTGTACATTTATTCACTTCTATGCACCAACCCTTGTTATAAAGAGTAAGACTCCTTTGACCCTCAAAAGCTGGTAGTCCACTGGCATATAAAGTAGTAAGTCCAGTGTGTTGTAATGAGGGTTTTAATGTAGGCAGGTGCAAGGTATAGCGGTGGCACAAACGACTTTTCTTCAGAGGACTTTCCGGAAGTCAAGGGAAGCTGGTGTGACTGGAGCAGAGGGAATCCCAGGAGATAAAGCCAGACAGGTCCAGAGCACAAAGAACCTTTTAATCCAGCAATAGGAAGCCACTGAAACGTTTCAAATAGAGTAATATCGTGTAATTATTTAAGGATCCCCCCAATATAAGCTCTGTGAAAGTTGGACTGTTTGTCTCTCTCATGGTTATAGTCCCAGTGCCTGATACGTAGTAACATTCCATTTGTTAAGACAAAGATAAACTGGTGAGGTTTGCATTTTTGAAAGATCACTGACAGCACTATGAATTAAACATACTGAAGCTGGAATCAGAAGACCAATTCAGAGATCCTGGACCTGGAATACACAAGAGACCAAGAAGGCTAAGCAGTAGCAAAGCAAACAGAGAGGAAAGAGCCATGAACATGCACATTTGAGGACTGATTGGAACAAAATGTGAAGTGGAAGAATGGGGGGAAAAGAATCAAGAATGATTCTCAGATGCTAGCTTCACTAATTCATTTGAAAGGCATTGACTACAAGATATACAAAGTCAAATAAGACATGGGCCCTGCCATCAAGACATTTATAGGGATAGGGTATTGGCAAAGATGTATGGTCAAACCAACTGTTATGATACTATGTAAAACGTACCAAGTAAGATACAAGCACATACTGGAGCTCAGAGGAGGAACAGGAACTTTTAAGTTAGTTGAAGAGCCGGGGATGCTTCCTGGAGAGTGTGGTCATTGAGTTGTTTTTTTTTTTTTTTTTTTTGCGGTACGCGGGCCTCTCATCGCTGCGGCCTCTCCCGCTGCGGAGCACAGGCTCAGGACGCGCAGGCCCAGCGGCCATGGCTCACGGGCCCAGCTGCTCCGCGGCATGTGGGATCTTCCCGGACTGGGGCAAGAACCCGCATTCCCCGCATTGGCAGGCAGACTCTCAACCACTGTGCCACCAGGGAAACCCGGTCATTGAGTTTTGATGAACAATACAAGTTAACTTATGAAGTTCAAGTTTGGGATGTGCCGAATATCAAGTGGAGTTACCAGAATAGGAAATGCAACAAATCTAATACCCAACTCACACATGGCTTCAGGGGCAAAGCCACATCCAGAATTTGCATTCTGACTTCCAGGCACTGATCTTTTCATTTTATGATGCTTGCTATGAATCACATACTCAATAGGTCGGAAGGCCTAACGAAACGATTAGTAGTAATTCAACATTACTAAATATTGCCAAGCACTGTTCTACATGCTAAATGAACAAAACTATAAGGTCCTTTGGGGTCATTTACATCCTAATAAGCAATTAGTCACTGTAGAGAGTTGGATCATTACTCTCCAAAATTCAAGTCCACCCAGAACCAAAGACCTTATTTGGAAACAGTCTTTGCTTATGTATTTAGTTAAGTATCTCAACATGAAATTACTCTGGATTAGGATGGAATCTAAATCCAATGACTGGTGTTTTATAAGGGGAGAGGACACAAACAGACACAGAAGGAAGAAGGCCATGTAAAGAAAGAGGCAGAAATTGGAGTTAGGGTGCCACAAGCTAAGAACACCAGGAGCCACCAGAAGCTGAAAGAAGCAAGAAAGGATTCTCCACTAGAGGCTTTGGAAAGAGCATGGCCCTGCTGACACCTTGGTTTCAGACTTCTGGCTGCAAGAAGAATAAGAAAATAAATTTTGTTGTTTTAAGTCACCAAGTTTGTGGTAATTTGCTACAGCAGCCTCAGGAAATGAATAAACTCACATTTTTTTCTGAATTAGTAATACATTAATTAGCTCAAAAAAACAAGACTAGGGACTTCCCTGGTGGCGCAGTGGTTAAGAATCCACATGCCAATGCAGGGGACACGGGTTCGAGGCCTGGTCCAGGAAGATTCCACATGCTGCGGAGCAACTAAGCCCATGCACCACAACTACTGAGCCCGCACTCTAGAGCCTGTGAGCCACAACTACTGAGCCCACGTGCCACAACTACTGTAGCCCGCATGCCTACCTGTGCTCCACAACAAAGAGAAGCCACCACAATGAGAAGCCCGGAAGCCCGCACACAGCAACAAAGAGTAGCCCCCGCTCGCCGCAACGAGAGAAAGCCTGCGCACAGCAACGAAGACCCAACACAGCCAAATAAATAAATAAATAAATTTATTAAAAAAAAAAAAAAAGACCAAAATTGTATACAGTGAAAAGTCTCCCTCCCACTCTTTCCCCATTTGCCTTAGTTCCCTTACCACTCAAACATGTAACCTCTGGGTTTTCTGTATATTCTTCCAGAGATTTGTAATGCATATGCATGAAAAAAGAAATACATGTTTCTCTATACAGACACATTTTCTTTAAAAAAAAAAATCAGAAAAACTGGTTTGCATATTTTTTGCTTCATGAGACCATGGTTTCTTTCCCCAGTTAGGCCACAATTTCTTAAGAACACAGACTATGTCCAATACAGGACTGTATTTCCAATACAGGACTGTATATGCAGAGACATTGGATAAATGGTTACTGAATCCTCCCCTTGAGAACCTCGCTGGCAGTCTCCTTTCCTTCCCTCCCACTGCCCCTTCTGTCCCTCTGGACCTGCACTCACCAAGGTCACCAGTGGTCTCCATAGCAACACAGTTCAGTTGTCTCTTGTAAGTCCTTATGTTGCTGGACCTCTGGGCAGCAACTGACACTGACTGCTCCTTGAAACATTTCCTTCCTGGGGCTTCCATATGTTACACCTTCCTGCTTTTCCTCCCTTCTCCTAGGCTATGCCTTCTCTACCCTCAGGGCTCTGTGAGATCCTCTTCTCAGTCTCTTCCTTTTCCCCAAGATGATTATATCCATTCCTGTGGTTTCAGTTCCCTTTTTTACGCCAACAGCTCTCCGTTCTACAGCCAAACTATCTGTCTACCTATCTAGTTGTGCTGTTCTTAATCTCTTCATGCCTCAGCTTCCTCATGTATAAAATAAGAATAACGCCTACATCAAAGTTTGCTGTATTAAATTCGTTAACATATGCAAAGCACTTACAAGAGTGCCCACCGACAGTAAGCCCTACGTAAATATTAACTCTTATTTTTACACAAGTGCTCAGTATTCAGGGATGTAATGAGAATTTCTGCGCAGGAGGAGGAGAAAGATATTAAATAATTGTATGCAAATGTGATAAAAAGAAAGTACAAGGTAAAGTAGAAAACAAAAAGAACATAGAATTCGCGTGGTCCTTATCCAATCCCCCTGAAGTCTAAGAATCCACCGCAATGAGTGGGAAGCGGAGATGATCCTCCACACGGCAGGGGGCGCTGCATCATCCTCCAGCCGGGGGGACAACAGGAGATGCGAGGACGCGCTACAAAGGTCACGTGCCCTGGAGTTTACCGCCCCGGCGTTCACGCCTCTTCGATTCACGTGACTCGCATTCTCGGGGGTGATTGGTCTACACGAGACACGTGGGCGGGGGTGGCACGAGGCAGGGCGGGGCATGGTGGGTGGAGGGGTCGGGCTGGGGGCGGAGCTGGAGGGGGTTGGTTCGGCGCGGGGGCCGTTGGCTCCAGACAAATAAACATGGAGTCCATCTTCCATGAAAAAGTGAGTGTCCGCGTTCGGTGGGGAGCTGTCTGCAGCGCGGTGGCGGGCGTGGGGCGCGGCATCGCTGCCTCCCGGGGAGCTGGGTGGGGCCCGAGATGCCCCCATCCCGATCTCGCCGGGCGGGAGGAGCTTCACCTGGAGGGGAGTTTCACCGATGCCCCCATTGCACCCTAAGGCCCGTGCCCGAAGGAGCCAGAGGAGACCCGGGCCGGGGATGTCTGGGAAGCCCGCAGGGAATAAGGGCAGGGCCGGCGGCACGAGAGAGGAGGTGGCTTCCGCGCTTTCTCACCACTTTCCGTGGGAGTCCTCCAGTTCCTCTCCCCCACTCTCCCTAGGTTCTAGCTAGTCACCTCTTGGACACGTCCCTCTACCCTTCCCAACTCCACCCCACTCTCCCAGTCCTACCCGTTGGAAGAATTAACTTTTCCTTCTCTGGGCTCCTCAATTCTAAATTGGAATATCTCATACACTCAGATCCTTCTGCACTGGGTCCGTGAGCATCCCGGGGGCAGGGACCTTGGCTCGTCCCACGGAGGGCGTGACCCTTAGGGAAGTGAAGTAGGAAACCCAGTGCGCCCCTGAACTGGAAAGTCGTCACAAGAGTTTTTGTTATGAGATGTTTGGGTTTCGTTTCTTTTGGTAGTGGCATCTTTCCGGATCAGGAGGTCAGCTTTCTTATTAGGTATTAAGAGTGGGCAGGAATAATTTTGTTTTTGTCTGCCTAGCCTGTTTTGCTTTGATTCTTCCATGACCATGCGCTTGAAGATAATGTTTGTGGCATGTGGAGAAACTCGTCTTTTCTCGCAGTTATCAAACCATTTGGGTGTGAGTGAAACCTTCCTCAGGACAACTTTGTCACCTATCTTGTTTCATAATAGTTTCGTATTTAGAAAGGGTTGCTGGTGAGGCTGTTATTTAGTAGGAGCGAAGGGGTTTTGTTTTGTTAAATACTTGTCCATTTAAAAATACACACACAGCAATCAGATAAAGCAATCAAAGACAAAGGAAGTGCAGTATAAATCTAACCAAATTATTACGGAATGCTCTTCTTTACAGAAAACATTTCAGAAAGTTTGGTACTAGAATAGACCAGTTTTTATGTGTGGGTGAGGAAGGACTCAGTGGTATGGTTATCACCAATCTTTTGACTTGACTGACATGTTATATGAATCCTGGACAAGAGAAATTTAGCTGCTTGGCTAAGGAGACTGGATGAAGAGAACCTCGAGTGGGCATATTTTTATGACTGATTTTCAAAAGCTTTGCTGTAGGACCAGATGGTTCAACACTGAAGACTTTAAATTTGTGCACATCACTTCCTGAGAATTATACAATATATTTTTTTAACAATAATGATTGGTACCTAGTTTGGATAGAGTTCAGTGAAGGTAGCTGCTTAACCATGGGATCAAAAGAAGCTGGATGCTAGCCTAATGAAAATCTACTTACCTGAAAGCAGTCACTCTGAATTAGCAGCATGAATGTAGACTTAAACCTACTTCAAGAACCCATTTACCCTTATCAACTTATAGGTACTTAGCAAATGAAGACTTAAAGTTCTTCAGGCATATTTCAATAGTATGGAAAGCACCTGTAACCATAGGGCCCATTGTCCATCTCATACACTGTCCATTCTGGGAATGTTTGAGCTCAACATGACATTTTCCAGAGCACTCCCTTCCCCTTCTCCACATACATTTAACTCTAGGTCCTGGGTTTGGAGAGCCGGAGAACCAACTTTGGCCCTAGGGAAGCTGTGCATGTAGGGTTATCTGACTACAAAGGACTTTGCAACCACTTCCTCTTGGAATTTTGGTTTCTCCATTTTCAGAATTGTCTCTTGGAGTGCCCTTTGTTAAATTAAAATGTAAACTCAACAGTTGTTTATTGATATATCCCCAGTGCCTGGCACATAGCAGGTGCTCAATAAATATTTGAATGAATCAAGAGTGTTCCTTGAGCATCTAAGATGTATATGGTGCTATTTATCTAAAGTAAACAAGTTTTTCTGTAAATATTTTGTTTTTTAAAATAGGATTTTTTTTGGCTACATTGGGTCTTCATTGTGGTGCGGGCTTTCTCTAGTTGCAGTGAGTGGGGGCCACTCTTCGTTGCGGTGTGTTGGCTTCTCATTGCAGTGGCTTCTCTCGTTGCGGAGCACGGGCTCTAGGCTCACAGGCTTCAGTAGTTGTGGCGTGCGGGCTTGGTAGTTGTGGCTCGAAGGCTCGGTAGTTGTGGCTCGCAGGCTCTAGAGCGCAGGCTCAGTAGTTGTGGTGCATGGGCTTAGATGCTCCGTGGCATGTGGGATCGTCCCAGACCAGGGATCAAACCCATGTCCCCTGCGTTGGCAGGCAGATTCTTAACCACTGCGCCACCAGGGAAGTCCTTCTGTAAATATTTTAGACTTTGCAGGTCTTTTATGTTCTCACATATTCTTGTGTGTGTGTGTGTGTGTGTGTGTGTGTGTGTGTGTGTGTTTTCCCAACCATCTAAAAATGTAAAAACCATTCTTAGCTCCTGGGGCAGATTGAATTTGGCCCAAGGGCTAGAGTTTGCCAATCCCTAACTTAAACCCTAGTGCTATATGGCCACCAACTGCTGGAGTTTTTTGTTGTTTGGGTTTTTTTTTTTTTTTTAGTTCTGGTGCCTGATTGCTGTCGTTTTTGTTATCTCTTCTGTTGCTGACTGCTCTTGGTGAGGTTACTGTGCCATCTGAATTGGTACTTTCATGTGTCTACAGCTGTGAATGATAGCCAAACTTGTTGGGATTATATTTAAAATTAGTGAAAATACTGGAAAGATGCTGAGATTTGACTTTATGACATTCGTTATGTTTTTTTTTTGTGATTGGTGGTTCTTAACCATCTTCAGGATATTTGAAGTTTTAAGAATCACCAAGTTCCAAATAAGTGGCTTAAGGAAGTGGTAATAGTACAGACTTGAAACCTCTGCCCGGGTTTGAATCTCAGCTCTCCGTTTACTACCTGTATGATCCTGGGCAAGTTACTTGTCATCTCTGTTCTCCAGCTTCCTCCGCTGTATTTGAGGGTTTTGAAGTGTCTGTCTCAGCATTATGAGTGCTTAGAATGCTACTTGGCATGTAGTGCTGGACAAGTGCTGGCCACTGTTGTTATTCAGGTGCTTGTGCTTGCCGAACTTCATAATAAGGGGTGGGACCTTATTCTTAACTAAGATGAGATGAACAAGTGCTGCTAGGTTGATTGTGTGGCCCCAGTTAGGCCATTTCTGAGCACACCTTTGGGTTTATGCCTAGTTTCAGTTGGAGGCAGTAGTGTCTCTGGGAATTTGAACTAGTTTCAGGGAGGTCCTGAAGACTCTGGGGACAGTGAGGGAACGATTTGGTTGAAGTTACCCTTGGTGGTTTTGTGAGATATCTTGGTAAAACTGAAGATGCATTTTGTTCATCCTTGGATCCCAACACAATAAAGTCTGGGCTTGAAATCATGAAATTTCAATACCACTGAACTTTGACTATAGCAAAGTGAACTTCTGTCCAACTTTGGTTAAAGTTTGATGAGAAAGAAGTGGTTGGGGGACTTCCCTGGTTGCACGGTGAAGAATCCACCTGCCAATACAAGGGACGCTGGTTCGAGCCCTGGTCCTGGAAGATCCCACATGCCGCGGAGCAACTAAGCCCGTGAGCCACAACTACTGAGCCTGCGCTCTAGAAGTCCGCAAGCCACAACTGTGGAGCCCACACGCCACAACTACTGAAGCCTGTGCACCTAGAACCCATGCTCCGCAACAAAGACAAGCCACCACAATGAGAAGCCCGCGCACGGCAACGAAGAGTAGCCCCCGCTCACTGCAACTAGAGAAAGCCCGCACACAGTAACGAAGACCCAGTGCAGCCAAAAATAAATAAATAAATTACTAAATTTAAAAAAAAAGAAAAGAAATGGTTGCGGGGACTTCCCTCGTGGGCCAGTGGTTAAGACTCCATGCTCCCAATGCAGGGGGCCGAGGTTTGATCCCTGGTCAGGGAACTAGATCCCGCAACTAAGAGCCTGCATGCCACAACCAAAAGATCCCACGTGTTGCAACTAAAGATTCCACATGCCTCAACTAAAAAGATTCCGCATGCTGCAACTAAAGAGCCCGCACGCCGCAGCAAAGATCCTGAGTGCCGCAACTAAGACCTGGCATAGCTGAATGAATGAATGAATGAATGAATGAATGAAGTGGTTGGGGATAGTTTAGGGGGTGGGATGGGCAGGCAAGGAAATGCATAATCTTAGATGGGACCATTTTACAATTTTTTTGGTCCATGTAGAATTTGACTCATCTTGTGACTTTAAAAAATAATTTTATTTAAATTTGTACAATTTGTTCTTTCCTTCTATTAAATCATCTTAGAAGTACAGAACTTCATATAATTTCCTAAAGCAATACAGTATTACTTCCATTAGGTTTAATTTCAAGTGCTTATTTTTTGTATTTTAAAGCTAATTTTTTATAGAGAGAATTTTAAAATCAAATATTTGGATTCACTGTTTCTATGTATGTTATTACATATGGTGACCATAGTCTGAGAGCCCCAAACTGAAGCATGTAGCCTGACAGCAAACAGAAAATTCCAAGATAATCCAGTGTCTGGTCACTGTATTAGGTAGCTCTTAATGTGAAGTAGCTGTACCTTAGTAGAGACTTTTTTATCGTTGTTTGAATTTTTTATTAAGGATAACACGTGTAGGCGCACACAGATCATAAGAGTATAGCTCAATGAATTCTCATGAAGTGAACACAAGTGTGTAAATAATACTTAGATCAAGTGACAGAACATTTACCTGCATCTTATAAGCCCCCTTACATCGTTCGTCTTCCAGGATACTAACTCTCCCTCCACCCCTGCAAGGGTAACCACTACCCTGATTTGTAACGTCATCGATTAATTGGTTTTGTCTGTTTTTGAAGTTTTGCAAATGCAGTCATATAGAGTGTACTCTTTTGAGTCTGTCTTCTTTTGTTTAACATTGATCGAGTCATCCATATTGTTGCAGGTAGTTGTAGTTAACTCACTGTCATTGTTACATAGTAGTCCTTTGTGAATGGAACACAATTTAGCCATTCTACTGTGATGAGCATTTGGGTAATTTCCAGTTTGGGGGCCAATACAAATAGTGCTTCTATGAACGTTCTTATACATGTCTTTTGATGAACACAGGTTTACATTTCTGTTGCTTATGTTATGTACCTAGTGGTGGCATTGCTAGATCATAGGGTAGGTAGATGTTAAGCTGTAGTAGATATTTCAAATAGTTTTCCGAAGTGGTTAAACTAATTTACACTTCCATCAGTAGTATATAATAGTTTTGATGTCTCTAATCGTCTCCAACATTTTAGCCATTCTGGAGTGTGTAGTAGTAACACACTGGTAGTTTTAATATAGGTTTCTCTGATGGTTAATGAAGTTGAGCCCCCCTCTGTGTTTTTTATCCATTTGGCTATCCTCTTGTGAGTTCTTGTTTGTCTTGCCCACTTTTCAATAGAATATAAGTAGACATCTGTGTATCCCTCCAATTCACATTATATTGTTCAGTGAGACTGGCTTTCTGGCAGGAGGAATACAGTAAAAGAAAAAAGAAGTGGAGACAAGTACTCTCTCACCATCGTAGTTATGACTTGAGGGATGGATAGTGTCTTCTTTACTTCAAGTTACTTATTCTATACGAAAATATGAAGATAAACTTGTCTCAGCCCCCTTTCTCACACTCAGACTGTCTCAGTGCTGCATTCCTATTCCATTATATACATATATCCTGTATCTTTTTCAGAAGCGGAATTTTGTTCCTAGAAAATTAACTCAGGAAAAAGATGTATCTTGCAAGGTGTTGGTCTTTGGGGTCTGACCTATTGTGTGACATAGCTCGAAACAAACTGCAGGATGTCAGACAGGTTGGGTTAATGAACAGACTTGACTGGGGAAATGGAGACCTTAGAGGGCCAGAGTTAGCAGGAGAAGAAGGTGTTCTCCCATCTGCCATCATACAACAGAGAGACCAACCCGGGGTTGGGTTCATTGGGAGGGACCTCATCCACCCATTAGTCTCCCTTCTTATAGGGAAACAGGAAAGCAGTAGTGTTGAGGGGAGAGGGGTGATACACAGTCTGCTTAGTTGGAGGAAGCCTGGATTTAGGTTTGGGGTGCCAGTTGTGTGAGAAAGCCAGCTGCCCAGCCCGTGAAGGGCCTGTGGGAAGTTGTTTTCTCCCCACCCCCATAACAGGAAGCCAGTGATCCCAGTTCCCAATTGGAGAACTGAGCTTGGATGCAGCCCCCTTGCTGTTTGTCCAGAAGTGAACTCCAGGGGTGGTTTTTGGACAGTTTTGCTCGTGCACCAAAACTGTGTACATTATCTGCAGAGTTCTTGAAGAGAACCTTGGCTCTGTAGCTATGTCTTCATAAACATGGAACAGAATTTTTCTTACTATATCAATTCTTGAGATTCTTCATCTGTTCACGGATTTGAAATTCCATGAACGAACATTTAGATGGATTAGAGATTATCTTGTTAAAAGAACAAATGTTCTAGGGAGTAAAATTCCCTTTCAGCATTAGTAATTTACCATGGAATCTCCAAAAATGTATTTATTTTAGCCACTGAAAACAAAGGAGGCTAAACGTTTATTATAATAGAGTAGTTTTTAATAAAAATGGGATTTGGTGTATTTGACAGATGATGTTTGCTTAGTATAAATCATTCTTAAATTTTTGATCATATAGCTAAATAATTGTAGTTTCATTAATGGTAGAATTATAAAATAAATGTTAACAAATGAAAATGCATGTACCTGTGTTAATCATGCTTGTCTAAAGCTAAAAATGTTCGGTTTGGCTGTGTTAAGTGAATGATTAAATTTCTGTTTCGGGGAAGATACTGTACAAATCTGTTTTACAAATCCCATTTGAATTTTTTCTTTTGGAAATATTAGCAAGAAGGTTCACTTTGTGCTCAGCATTGCTTGAATAACCTGTTACAAGGAGAATACTTCAGCCCTGTGGAATTATCTTCAATTGCACACCAGCTAGATGAGGAAGAGAGGATGAGAATGGCAGAAGGAGGAGTTACTAGTGAAGACTATCGCACATTTTTGCAGGTACTGATTTTAAACTCACTAAATCACACTTCTTAAAGAAATGTGGGTGCTGTTTAGAAAAGGATGAACCACTCTTCCTATGGGGATCTGACTTGTTAATTATAAATCGGCTCTCGACTTTGTAGATGGGAATGCACAAGATGTTACTTTAAATATGCACACTAATGACACTGTCCTTCTCTTCCCACTCTCAACCCCTGTCCCAACTACCTATCCAAATTAAACAGCAGCCTTCTGGAAATATGGATGACAGTGGCTTTTTCTCTATTCAGGTAAGTAGTCACAGGCATCTACTAAGTGTTGTTTATGTCCCAGGCACTGTTTAAGCTCAGGGTATGCTTTTCACAGTCTTTCATAGTCACTGTAATGATGTGACCTTCAGAAGTTCCTCCAGTAGATTGTGTCTAAGATTCTATACCAGAGTACTAGATTTTTATGCAGATAAACATGACAATTAGGATGACAGGATCTTCATCTTAGAGGAGGGCTTCTTCAAAGGAGGTTGTTAATTTGCATCCGGATGCTAATAACCGTAATTCCAGTAAGTCGCAGTATTCCAAACTTACCATCTTCTGTGTAAATTTGAGAACATACAACACTTTCCTACCTTCCATTTAAATCAGCCCACTAGGATTGGATTCCTTCATTATGGTCTGTGGCTTTTTCCTTTTTCCTTTTTTAAATCTTATCACTCCCCTTGAATTCTGTGGGTGAATATATATGTACTTGTGAGATTGATTCTTTCATCTGTGGATCTTTCATTCCATCTCTAACACCTGTGAGGCATATCCAGAGTTCTTTAGAACTTCTCTTGGGGGAACTTTTTCTGCAGATATCTCTGCTTGTGTTCCGCTGTACTGTCCTCCTGGACTCCTCAGGCACCAGCGTTTCCAGCCAGTGCTTTACTGTGGACCGTTACAGGTGACAGCTACTGCACGGCCTGGAGCAGAGGCCCGAGCAGGCCCAGTGCTTGCCATTTCCTGTTTGTGCAACGCTGCTCTTTTTTTTTTTGGTTGTACCACGTGGCCGTGACATGCGGGATCTTATAATACTTCCCCAACCAGGGATGGAACCTGCATCCCCTGCAGTGGAAGTGTGGATTCTTAACCACTGGACCACCAGGGAAGTCCCTGCAGCGCTGCTCTTGGTGCCAGTTCACATTTTCCCACCTCATAGCATAAACTTTTTGTCTGTATTCGTGCCTGGTTCACTTCCTGCTTTGTTGGCTACCTTGGAGGGTAGGTAGTGAATTTTCAGAAATTTCCCTTTTTTTTCTCAGTTTGAAATAATCAGGTTTATCTTTTGTTTTTTTCCTACAAATCACAAACCCATGATAATAGACGTTTAAAATTTATGAAAGCTTCAGTTTAAATCCCCAGAAATAACTCATTTTAATAGACATAAAATTATCATTATTACATATCAGGTAGTGAGTTGACTATCAGTTTTCTAAAGCAGGACCCATAGCAGCCAAATTATCACATGTTTGCAGTGGACTGGTTTTAAGGGTAGCACTTACTGGATAGGAAATACATCTGGAGTTTTGAGGCAGTTTTATCTAGGAATTGTGTGGTTCTCTGGAACATTCCAGAAACTTAGTGTAAAAAGTACTCTTTTAATGTTACGTTTGTATATTATTTATGGACTTAGTGATATATCTAGACACACATACACACACTTTAAAAACCATAACCTTCTGGGGAAATTTATATATGAACTACAATTGTGTATACAACTAACATGGCTACACTACTTAAATTTGGAATTTTTAAAAGTTGTTATTTTTTTATAACAGGTTATAAGCAATGCCTTGAAAGTTTGGGGTTTAGAACTAATCCTGTTTAACAGTCCAGAGTATCAGAGGCTCAGGATCGATCCCATGTAAGATTTTATTTTGCTTTTCCTACATTTGATTTTTAAATTTATACTTTCTTAAAGGAGAAAAATACATCTTGCATGCTTTTGTTTTGATATTCCCCGTTTCGATCCCTCAGGTTTTCCTAGTTCACCTTTTGTGGCTGTCTGTGAACATCTGCCCACTGAGCCTTCCTGACCCCTCAGTGTCTGGCAGTGCAGAGCTGATCCTTGAATGGGGTGTGGTGCCATCGTTTTTGGACGGCATCACTTATCTGCACAGAGATTCATACTGTTTTGTAATTTTTTAAAAATCAGTGATACTTAAAACTGTGAATATAATCCTAAATCATCATAGGTTTTGTGTAATACTTTCCAACAGACAAACTAAATGAATATGAACTCTAGTATTTCAACTTAATATTATGTATGTTTTCTTTCCTGTTTCTAGAAATGAAAGATCATTTATATGCAATTATAAAGAGCACTGGTTTACAGTTAGAAAATTAGGAAAACAGGTAATGCTTCCCCTCTTCCCCTGTCTTTTTCCTCATTCTGTAGCTCATTTGCAACTGAAGTGTAAGGGATTTGTGCCTTCGTCTTTAAGGCGCCTGTCCCTTTCACTTCAGTTGCAAATGAAACTCACCAGTAATGTGTGTATGTGGCCTGGTTTCAATAGAGAGAGAGAGGACATAAGTAAAATTCTCTATTTAATAAGACAATACAGCCGTGGTTACTTTTAATATGTTTATGAGTTTTTATGTTGTAAAGATGCTCTGTCAGTTAACTACTATTTTCATGGGTTTGTATTAAGCATAGCAAGGTCACAAAGCCTGAAATAGTGTCTAGCATGAATAAAAATTTCCAGTCGTGTTTGCTTTTGCTTAACAAGGTTATTCGCATTCCAGAATGCCATGTAATATATGTATCTGCATAAATCATTTCTATTTTTTCTAAAAAAAGGACATGGAATGTGTCTTGAGCAAGGCTTTTTCTAAGATCAAGAAAAGTACCTAAAGGGTTATTTTTTTAAAATAATTGCCAGTGATCTTTGTATACACGATACCATTTTTGAAACAGAGTTAAAGTCCTTTTTCTTAGAATTTTGACACTTTGAAAGAGGATTATTATTATTTTTTGGCATTATTTATTTATTTATTTATTTATGGCTGCATTGGGTCTTCGTTGCTGTGCGTGGGCTTTCTCTAGTTGCGGCGAGTGGGGGCTACTTTTCATTGCGGTGCACGGGCTTCTCATTGCAGTGGCTTCTCTTTGTTGCAGAGCTTGGGTTCTAGACACGCAGGCTCCATAGTTGTGGCACGTGGGCTCAGTAGTTGTGGCTTGTGGGCTCTAGAGCGTGGGCTCAGTAGTTGTGGCGCATGGGCTTAGTTGCTCCGCGGCATCTTCCCGGACCAGGGCTCGAACCCGTGTCCCCTGCATTGGCAGGGGGATTCTTAACCACTGTGCCACCAGGGAAGTCCGGAAAGAGGATTATTGAAAACAGGCTAATGTAGTAAAAAGGAATGAATTATTGATACATGTAACAACATGGATGAATCTCAAAATAATTATGCTGAGTGAAAGAACCTAGACACAAAATACTACATACCATATTGTTCCATTTATATAAAAGTGTAGAAAATGCAAACTAATCTATAGTGACAGAAAGCAGATTGACTAGTGGTTGCCTGGGGATGAGGAGGGCAAGGAGCAGTGAAAGAGGAGGATTACAAGGGGCGCGGGAAAGTTGGCAGTGACGAATATGTTCACTCTTGATTGTGGTGATGGCTTCATGGGTATATACATATGTTAAAACTTTTCAAATTGTATACTTTAAATATGGCCAGTTCACTGCATGTCAGTCATACCTTAATAAAGCTGTTTTAAAAAATAAACTAATACAAAACAAAAAAGGAAATGAAATCAAGAAAGTTGAATTAAATCAATACAAGATAATTCAAAAACAAAAGCCCTGCTATTATCTTTTAAGTCTGCTGCCTAGAAGCAGCTTCATCATAACTGATTATTTCTTAAGGTCCTTCCTGGGGGGGGGCAAAGAGCAAGTAAGGAGGTGTGGTGTGATGCAGGAAAGACTGACCCAGGTGGGAATCAACTCTGGGAAAAACCAGGGCAGGACAACTGCCAAGGTTATTTAACCTCTGGGTTTTATTTAGATCTTTAAAAATATGATCAAGTATTCTTCACTTTCAAGATCTGAAGACTTAAATTCTAGAAATTCCTTTGTATTGATTTGCATGTAAACTTACGTTATTATTTTGAGAAAAAAAATTTTTTTTTGTATTTCTTTATTTACTTTGGCTGCGCTGGGTCTTCTTTGTGGCACTCGGGATCTTTGTTGCAGCATGTGGGATCTTTAGTTGCGGCATGTGGGCTTCTTAGTTGTGGCATGTGGACTTACTAGTTGCGGCATGCATGTGGGATCTAGTTCCCCAACCAGGGATCGAACCTGGGCCCCCTGCATTGGGAGCGCAGAGTCTTACCCACTGGACCACCAGGGAAGTCCCCTATTTTGAGAAATTTTTAAAATTTTAGTTCTTCAAAATTGAATTTACACATTTCAAATTATCTTTGACAAATACAGGAAATGTCAAAGTATGGCTTATCATCTTTGGTTCTAATTTGTATTTTTGTTTAAAATTGTATTTTTCCCTATAGACTCTTGTCTGAGGTCCCTGTATAAAGAAAAAGATGAGATGAGAAAAATATTATCTCTGTGAAAATCCAGGAAAAGTAGTTGGTCATGTTGCTGACAGTAACTTCTGAAACTTTTGTATCTTGTGGGTTAAACTAGGAGGCCCATGAAGTAGTGACCAAATGATGTTACTTACATGCAGTAATGGCTTACTTTTTAAAATGAGTTGGCAATTATAAATTCTCTTCCTGGAATGTCTGGCTTTCTCTCAGTTGAACTATTTTGACCAAGATTATCAGCAGTGGGAAAACTGGGTAGTTTTCCTTTTTCTTCCACCCTCAATATAATATGATTAGATGAGGATTTTGTTGGGCTGTTCCTTTGAAAAAAGATTTAATTGTCGCTATCAATAAAGATACTTTAAAATACTGGCTATCAGTTTCTTTTCTTTTTTGGAGGAGGGATTTAAAGCTTATGGCTTAAAGCAAACTTTTAAAACATTTAATAGTGATAAATTTGCAACATTCTATTTCAATTTTTTAGAATCACATTATTTAATTACTTAAAAAAATCTTGATTTGACATGTTTTCAGTCTTTAGACAGTCTTACTAAGTTTAGATGGGTTATATCTATTCTTAACATGTGAAACTTCCTTATTACTTACATGTGCACTAACTTAAACACTGACAACTTTTTTTCCAGTGGTTCAACTTGAATTCTCTCTTGACGGGTCCAGAATTAATATCAGACACATACCTTGCACTTTTCTTGGCTCAGTTACAACAGGAAGGTAAGTAAAGACTGAACATTTTATGTTACCTTTTGAAGTAGCCAAATAAAACTATTTCCTTAGAAGTGAGTGTAACAAGGGGCTTCCCTGGTGGTGCAGTGGTTAAGAATCTGCCTGCCAATGCAGGGGACACGGGTTCGAGACCTGGTGCGGGAAGATCCCACACGCCGTGGAGCAGCTAAGCCTGTGCGCCACAACTACTGAGCCTGCGCTCTAGAGCCTGCGAGCCACAACTACTGAAGCCCGTGTGCCTAGAGCCCGTGCTCCGCAACAAGAGAAGCCACCGCAGTGAGAAGTCTGCGCACCGCAATGAAGAGTAGCCCCCGCTCACCGCAACTAGAGAAAGCCCACACACAGCAACGAAGACCCAACACAGCCAAAAATAAATAAATAAATTAATTTTTTAAAAAAGTTAAAAAAAGGAGTGAGTGTAACAATATTGTTTTCGTGGCAGCGGCAGGGTTATAATTTTTATGTTTTACGTGGTGAGCTTTAGGCTGTGATTTGGATGATAACTGCTCATTTAGCATTCTTGCTGACACTTGGCCCTCCCCTGGGGATGCTGATTCCTTTGCAGCCCTTCTACAGTAATGGTTCTTTTGTCTTCTGTACCCCACATACCACAGAGCCAAGGGGAGGTGTAGGTATTCTTCTTGCTCCTCTTTGCCCCTTCTTGGCCACTCTTCTTCCCTAAAAACTCCAGGTGCTTTGAAATACATGTCACGAGATTAAACTCTACCCCATGCTCCTTTGTAGTCTTTTGCACTCTGATCTTCCTCCTTTTCCACTGAAGATTTTAGGATCCGACTCACTGTCATCTCTCTACTTCAACTCCTTTCATCTTTCTTGGTGATTTCTACATCAAAAATCAATCCAATTCAACCTCTTCTTACTTTCAAAGATCATTTTCTTCACTCTTGCCTTGCCATTACTAACTACCACCTTCAAATCCCAGTTATAAGCATCCTACTCTTTGACTATTGCCTCCTATGTTTATACCATATTTTTGGGTTTTTTTAATTTCCAACAATTCTTTAAACCCTACTACAAACCTAAACATTCCCCTTACATCCTAAAATCCTGTATTACCCTGCTTATTTCCAGTAATCCATCATTATAATAATTCTGTTGCATTTCTCAACTCCTTTGTCCTTCTCTCCCTCCATCATACTTTTTTTTTTTTTTTTTTTGCGGTACGCGGGCCTCTCACTGTTGTGCCCTCTCCGGTTGCGGAGTACAGGCTCCGTACGCGCAGGCCCAGTGGCCATGGCTCACGGGCCGAGCCGCTCCGCGGCACGTGGGATCCTCCCGGACCGGGGCACGAACCTGTGTCCCCTGCATTGGCAGGCGGACTCTCGACCACTGCACCACCAGGGTAGCCCCCTCCATCATACTTCTAAGACAAAATCCCAACCCTGGTTAAAACCCAATCTTGGGCTTGTGCAGTCTTCCATCAGAACAGCTGAACATGGCTAAAGATAAAATATGATTTATTTTGCTTTAAATTTATAATCACAAATTTTTTTTTTTAATTTTTATATGATCACAAATTTCAAATGAGCCTTTAGTGCTGCTTGACATCCCTACTATGTTCTCTCGGTTAGTTCACTTACCACTGTCCAAGGTGATGATTTCACAACTTCTGCCTTCAAACATCTAACCACTCCCCTACCCCTTCCTGACTCCTAGCTTATGGCCTTCCTTTATATTCTACTACGAAAACAGGAGCAACTAAAAGAGAACGTCCTCATTTTTCTACCAGCAATCTATCACCTTGTTTCTATCTCTACCTGTGCTTTGAGCCTATTAAAATAGATGAATTGTCCCCTGTTCCTAACCAAGACCAACCTCTCCACTTTGGGGCTAGATCCCAGCTCCTCCCACCTACTCAGGATCTTTGCTTCTGCTTGTCACTCCACTCTCCTGTGTGATTAGTTTCCCCCTCTTTTCTGTATTATTTCTATCAGCAGAGAAATACACTTTTTCTCTCCAATGAGTAAAAAGAAAAAGCATCTTTAACACCAGGAAACTCCAGCTGTCTCCCATTTTTATTTTCTCCTTAGAATCATCTCTAGGGTGTTGTCTTCTATTCATGAACTCATTCCAGTTACACTGTCATAACCAATGTGTCACTGAAAACCCTCTTCTCAGTGTCACCAATGACCTCCACATTTGCCACTGCCAGTATTCAATTCTCAGTCTTCCTTTGACCTCATCTTTTTTGAGGGTATAGTTGATTATATCCTCCTTTAAACAGAACAAAACAAAACTTTCTTACCAAGAATGTCAAACAAGTATAAAGTATGGAAAATAATGTGATGGATCCTTACGTACCCTTCTCCCCGCCTCAACAAATATCTCATGGCCAGTCTTGTTTTACCTTTACCCTAGCCACTTCCTTTTCCAGTTTATTTTGAGAAAATACTAATTGTCTTATTATGTTCTTTGTAGGTGTCTTTTTCATTAAAATCTTTAAAAAACAAGGACTCCTTAAAAATATATATATAGTCACAATACTATAATGACACATAAAAATTTAATTACAATTCTGTAATAACATCAACTAGCCAGCCAGTGTTCAAATCTCCAATCTCCTTGGTTAATTCTTCTGGGGTTTTTTTTTTGTTTTTTTTTTTTTTACAGTTGAAGCAGGTTGAAATAAAGTTAATTGATTCCATTGGATTGCTGTGTCTCTAAAATATATCTATAGGTTTCTTCTCCTCTTAATTTTTTTCCTTGATTTATTCTTTTGAAGAAAATGGATCTTTTGTTCTCTTTCCCACATTCTAGATTTTGCTGGTTGCAACCTTTTTTTCGTCTGAGCCCTGGATGCCCAGTAGACTGGTCCTTATATCTAGGGGCTGGATCAGATTCCAGTTGATTTGGGGAGGACAGAATTCTCTTTACAGATGGTGGTGTCTAGTCAGCTCTCTTTCTGTGATCTGGGTACCTATTGATGATCAATGCCTAGTCCGTTATTTCACTGAAGACTGCAAAATGATGATATCAGATTCCTGTCATTCCTTCATTTATTAGTTGGAGGACTTCTATACAAATAAACTTTCCCTCATCAACTGTTTGGTTATCCTGAAGTATAGTTCATATAGAAAAAGCAGGATAAATATTTCTTTTATCAGTTTTTTAAATGAGTCGGTTTCATAGTATCCTTCCTCCAAAGGTAATTGGTTTGTTTCTGAAGTGTCAGTGTAAACAAATCCATTAAAACCATAGTTCATTTGGTTTAGTCCATTGTAATTATTATTCATGTTGATACACAAAATTGTCCCATCTTGGATGAGTGGGAACCTTTTGAACTTGACTCCCAAGCTTCTGAAATGACCACTCTAGCCTTTTGAAGCCCTTCTTTCTCATACAATAAGAATTTTCAGTCTTATCTTGTATATTTCCTGCCCTTTTAGTAATGGTGGTTAGAGATCACAGTCTGGGCACTGGCATGCTTATTGCTACCAGGTTGGTTGTCATGTACCTCTCTCCAGTTTACATGTAGGATCATAGTGTTGTAACTTCTTTGACTTTATATACTTGTATCCCTTTTCTTTTATGCCTAAAACCTTTGTTCCTAGCTATATCCTCCCTTCTTGAAATACTGTCTACACAAGGCTTCCAGGCCTCTATGGAGGTTTACCTGCTGCTTGGCTGCTTCTTTCAGATTCCTTTTATGGATCTTACTCTTTTCAATCTCTAACTAATGAAGTGACCCAGAGTTCAGTCTTTGGACAACTTCTTGACTGCTCTCCCATTATTTTAAATATCATCTCTAAATAAAGTCTATCTGCCAATAATTCCTTAGACTTTTATCTCCTGCCTAGACATCTACACTGAACTCCAAACTCCTAACTTTAACATCTCCACTCAGAAGTCCAGAAAGCATTTTAAACTGAACACGTCTACAAAAGACGTATTTTTTTTTTCTCCCCATATATGCTGTCCCTCAGGTTTTCCATTTTAGTAAGACCCACTCTGCTTGCACGCTGGTTCCTATATATTTTGTTGATAAAGCAGCCTAGAGTGCTCTTTTTAAAATGTAATGCACATTATGGCACACCTTCATTCGTCAGCCCTTCAGTGGCTTCCTAGCACACTTAGAATGAGATCTAATCTTGAATGAAAGCCAAGATCCTTACAGTGCCACCTCCATAAGGCAGTTTCTGCCCTTCCTGATACTCTTCATGGAATAGCATCATGAGCTGACATAGTTTATTCTAGACTCTAGAAACAATTTTATTGGTGTAAAACATGTTAAACCATCTGAACACTGAGCACACTTGTCCTTGTGAGAAACAAATGTTAAGTGTATTATGATTTACTCTTTTGAGTTTTTCCATTAACAGTCCTTTTCATCTTTGTTCATTTGTTTCATTATCTGTTAATGTTCACAAAGAATATCCATAACAAGCACCAAAGTTGAAGAAAATTTATGGTAGAAAAATGTAAATTGAGGGACTTCCCTGGAGGTCCAGTGGTTAGGACTCTGCACTTCCAATGCAGGGGCACGGGTTCGATCCCTGTTCGGGGAACTAAGATCCCACATGCCACGTGGTGCAGCCAAAAATAAGAAATGAAGAAAAACGTAAATTGATTAGAGTGACTTAGGTGTAGCGCACCCTTATTTAGCTATTGTGTGGCGTATCCAGCTGGGAAAACCCTGGCTTTCTAGAATCGTATTTATAAAAAATTACACTGGGCCGGTGTAATTTTTTCAAAACATGAACTGCATCTTCAACACCTTGACTAGATTTGGGATATTGGCTTTCCAGCTCCTGTTTTCAGTTTGGAGGGATGTGTATGTGTCAGGGTCAGGGGCAGGGGCAGCTATTTCCACAGATGACTCATTTTACCCATATTACACATTATTACACACATCCTCTGATTGTGTCCTCAGATAGCCCTCCGAGGAAGGTACAGTATAATCTATGTAGCAGTTGAAGAAACCAAGACCTAGATGGGTAAAGGGGTTTACCAGAGGCCAGGCAGCTAGGAAATAGAAGAGAGAGGGGATTAAAACCCAGGTCATCTGATTCCAGATTCCTTGCTCTTCCTTATTCCTTTCCTTGCCTCTCTGGTATCATTTAGTGTAACCTACTTGGTCAGGCACTGTTTTAGTAGATCCCTTTACAGATTCGATTACTTCTCATAGTCACTCTGTGAGATGGCTCTTCCCATTTTACAAGTGAAGAAAGCAAGGTTCAGAGACTATGTAATTTGTTCTAGATCACCCCACTAGTAAGCGTAAGAATCATTATTTGAACCCAGGTGCTCCTGGCTCCTCAGTCTGTGTCCTCACTCCACTGTCCTGTACCGCCTCTCTATCTGCTGTCATTTTTAATCAATTTTGAATCACTTGCTAACTGTTTTAGTTTATTTTTGCCTTTTTTTTTTTTTAGGTTATTCTATATTTGTTGTTAAGGGTGATCTGCCAGACTGTGAAGCTGACCAACTCCTACAGATGATCAGGGTCCAACAGATGCATCGACCAAAACTTATTGGAGAAGAATTAGCACAACTCAAAGAACAGAGGTAAAATTGAGCTTGCAGTATGGAATATATGATAGTATTTCATTACAAAAATTAAATTTTCATGCTTACACTGAAGATGAGGTCCTTTTATTATTGGTGATTCTTTTTAGACCTTTATGTTTTAGTGAAGTTTATTGGTTTAACCATGGACCAACTCTGAATTATTTAAATATACTTAGATTCACATCACAATAAAACCTTTATATTATTAGACCTTGTCTGCCAGAAAATGTGTAAGTTTTGACTTACATAAAAATCTTTGGTTTATAAATGTCTCTGTTATATCTAAAATAGAAGAGTGGTCTGCAGTTATTTTTAGTGCTTTTATTCTTTAGAGTCCAGAAAACAGATCTAGAACGCGTCTTAGAAGCAAACGATGGATCAGGAATGTTAGACGAAGATGAGGAGGATTTGCAGAGGGCTCTGGCACTAAGTCGCCAAGAAATTGACTTGGAAGATGAAGAAGCAGATCTCCGCAGGGCCATTCAGCTCAGCATGCAAGGTATGGACATTCCGACACATACTTTATTCATTGTTGAAGAATTGATTCAGATCATTCTTAGTTCTTCTGGAAGTTAATGTACTATTGGTAGAAGTTCTTGGACAATCACTGCAGAAGCAATAGCTATGTACAATCAGTTATTGTTTTTTAGATTTCTTTTAAAACAACTTTTTACGGCTTGTGTTATATTAGGACTAGTTTTATTTTTATTTCTGGTTATTCCACTTGGTTATAATACTGTGCTAACACAATAGCAAACTGAGGTCAATCATTGTGAGGTCAGTGGGCCCTTACCCAGACCAACTGTTCTAAAAATGTATGCTAGTGCACATGAAGGAAGGCCTGGACAGAGAAAGTAAATTGATTTTACAAAACTCTAACAATTGGTGGCTGTGCAGCTTACAGCTTAAGCCCACTTTGGTGAGCCCACTTTTTTAGTGATATAGGCCCATCAGCTGAGAGTAAAGATGCATCCCTCAGGGAATCCAAGCTGAGGGAGTTGTCTGGGATGTTGTTCAAAGGGGTTTACTTACAGGTGTGAGGGGTTTTCTTTTTTTTTCTGATAGTTTTGTTTTTGTCTAATGTGAATTTGCCTTCTACTTTCTGATGAAATTACTTGTCAATTGAATTCCTTAAATATCTAAATAAGGAATTCACAGGTGTGCCAGGAGGCTCATGAGTAGTCCATATGGTGTGCAGGCCCATTTTGGATTAGTAGAGCCTTGCTAGATTAGCCCAGTAATGGACAGACACCAGCTTTAATAGTTTTAGATATTTCTGTGTACTTTCCCTTCCTTTCCACTTTATTTCACAGTTTGTGCAGAATCTCTGATTGGTGCAATAATGAAGTAAGAACATGGAAACATACTTAAGTTGTTGTAGTACCCAAATGTTTCAGGATAGAGGGATACAGAGAATGGGTTTGTTTTGTGATCATCCACTTTGAGTTGCTTCTAGGAATTCTATGCCTTTGAAAGTGCAGATTCATTTCTAATAAGAGAGCACACAAGTGTGGCGTTAATTATTTCTCCTACCAAGTTGGTCGTTGGGCTTACCTCCTCACATCCACTACATCACAGATGGGTAACAGCTTTGGCTGCAGTGGACACAGGTTAGATTTGAACTGCCTTATTCAGATTCTCCCTGAGACTTTCAGAGCCTTTCTTACATTTACAGAATGGTACAGAATATTTTTGAGAACAAAACTTTTCAAAAGTTCCTTCACATAAGTATAAACATATTATTGCTTGAATTGGTAAATAAAATAGTTTTTTGTTCTGTTTTATTTTGTTTTCAGGTACTTCCAGAAATATATGTCAAGATACTCCACAGACGTCAGGTACACATCTTACTTCAGAAGAGCTACGGAAGAGAAGAGAAGCCTACTTTGAAAAGTAAAGTAGTTGGTACAATATTAAAATTGCATATTTAATATTTACCTTGGCTGTTTTGTCTATTTGTAAACATACAGCTTTGATTTAAACCATTTATTTTATTGAGGGTTCTCTCCTTTTTTAAAATACTGGTTACTGCCTGACCCTATGAGCATTTGAATGTATTTTTTAAAAATTTGTAGCTAGGGCTTCCCTGGTGGCGCAGTGATTGAGAGTCTGCCTGCCGATGCAGGGGACACGGGTTCGTGCCCCGGTCCGGGAAGATCCCACATACCGTGGAGCGGCTGGGCCCGTGAGCCATGGCCGCTGAGCCTGCGCGTCCGGAGCCTGTGCTCCACAACGGGAGAGGCCACAACAGTGAGAGGCCCGTGTACCGCAAAATAAATAAATAAATAAATAAATAAATAAATAAAAATAAAAATTTGTAGCTAATAAACTGTGAAATCAAATATAGTTTTAGGGGAAAACTTTGCCCCAGTACTAATTAAATTTACATGAAATAGGGTGAAGGAAACCCTGTAAAATTCGTCATCAAAAGGAAAATGGAATTGGGTCAAGGCAAGAGCAAAGCCTAATGATCCTTTGAATGTACTTCTTGGTTACTTGGACCAACCCTGCGAAGTTCTCCTGTGAATTAATAGGAAAAACAGCATTTGCGGTAGGGGAACACGCCCCCAAATAGAAGTGATGGTTAATTGCTCCACTCATTGCCACAGTAGCGGGGTACTGCAGGCCCATCAGCATCAGGGACATGAGGGTAACCATAAATCTGAATCCTCAGCTCCTAAAACCTAGCTTTGTGCCCAGGTTTATAAGTGCTTTCAAAATAGAAATTTCACCTATAAAATTATCCTTTCCAGTAACTGTCACTCACGTCTTCATCCCTTTTTCTTTTTTTAATGATATAACTTCATCTTAAGATCACAAGATCTATAATGATACTCAGATCCTCTGATCCCAGGTCAGAAAACAAAGGCCAGTGGCTGAGTCTGGCCTATTATTTACTATATTTCAACAATTCTAAGGTGCACATTTTTTCACATGTCAACATCTCTGCAATTCAGAAGACTCGTACACATCAGAGTTGGTAGTACTTTAGTAGTATATAGAATGTTAGAGCATTTTACATTTGATGGTATAATGAAGATAATATTTACTTTGTTTTCTGTTTTTTTTTTTTAAGTCACAGCTCAGAAGTATATGAAGGAAAGTTCTGATCAACTGACATCCTCTTAATGTGAGATATTTCTAGTCTTTATTCAGTGATAGATTAATGGATTTAATTATGTATAAAATTTCAAAATAGTGCTTATTAGTGCTTGTCACTCCCTTTTAAATTTTAAAATTAACTTTTTTAATTTTTTAATTATGATAAACTTCAAATTTATATAAAAGTAGAGAAACCAGCATAAGGAACCCCTATTTATCTGTTGCCCAGATTTAACAGATATCAGCACATGGGTCATCTTGTTTTTTTTTATGCCCCCATCTCCCATGCTTTCTACTCTCCCAGCCCCAGGGTGGGATTATTTTGTAACAAATCTAAATCATCATACTGCATCTGTATTAATTTCTGTGTGTGTCTCTAAAATATATGTTTCTTTCTTAATATAGCCAAATGCTCTTGTCATACAATAATGGAATAATTATCACACGATGATTATTAATGGTAGTTCTATAATATCATCAACTATCTAGTTATTGCTAAAAATAGCTTTAAATGTTTAATTCGATAAAAAATAATATTTTGGAATTTTTATTTTTAGAGATATCTAAATTAAAAAAACATAATCCTACCTTTAATAACTGATGTGTTTTGGTAGTCATACGCTTCTAGTCACACAAACGCCCATATATTGTATATCAGTTATACCCATTTTCCCATGATACTAAATATTCTTTGTAATAGGCTATGTTATATTTCATAAAATGAATTTATGTATCACAGTTTATGAACCTTTTGATTTTTGCTATTATAATAATGCAATGAACAATCCTTGTATTGACTTTATGCCTCAAACCTCTCATCATTTCTGCTATATTATTCTGAGAATTTCAGATTACTAAGTTAAAGGACATGAACATTTTTAAGGCCTTGGTACAGATTTCTAAACTGCTCTCCAGAACAGTTTCCAAGTGATACTTCTGCCATGCTTTTTTTCAGACTTCAATTTTTTCCAGAATAAAATGGTCCAAACAGACATACTTTATAGAGAAACTATAAAATTCACAAGTACGTGTAAGAAAAAGAAAATGTCTTTAAAATATAAAAACAAATCCCTCTTTTTTAAAAAAAAAAGGTTTTTAGATTTTTTTGGATTAAAAATGTAGAATCTCCAATGAGTTAAACTTTTTAGAATACAAAGGATAATGCAGTAACATTCCATAATGACTAAGTAAGTTATAACAAGCGCAATGCCAGCTATAACTAATGCAGGTGTTTTATTCAACGTTGCACCCTTTCTTAAATGTTTGAGTCTCCTTTCTGACTGGGGGCAGTTGGCTGGGTAAGAAAGTACTGTGATGGTTTCCAGCTTCGGCTTACTATCCTCTGCCTCCTGGTTTGGCCTTGAAAATACTGGTGAGAACTTGAGTAGAACTAGAGAGTATTTTACAGTTACTTGTTGCTGACTAGAGTTAAGAGCTAACTTCTTGGGGTTTCTTTTTAACTTTGGCTAGCATTCAGAATCTTGTAGGACTCATTAGTGAAGGAGCTGAGAAACTAATTTTTGCCTTTCAGTAGAATTCCTGATTACTACACCTATATGGGTCCTTGTCTCAATACCTTCTATTTTGGAGAACTTGGCTCTAAGGTTATGGAGCCGTTTCTTCCCTCTGATTCTTTCCAAACTGACCCTGGTGCTAATTTGTTTTTCATTGAAATGTATAGGGTTTTTTTTTTTTTTCCTGTAGGGTGTTTGAAGCTTCACACTTAATATAGTAGCCACAGTGTTCATGCATTAAGCATGAAAATGCTGTTGAAAGTCTACCTGTTGCAAATTCATAGTTTATGAGTAAGAGTTGTTAACTGATATTTTCGTAGCCATGATATTTTTTCCAGTGGTAATCTCCAAGTCCATGGTACCTATCATAAAACCCTGAGCAAAACTCTGCTGTGTCAGCTATGTCACTGTAAAACCTTAACTCACATGTTATGTGCATCAGATGAGGCAGTGTGTAAAACTGTTCTGTAAACTGTGAAGTAGCCTACAGGTATATGTCAGTGTTATTAATGCCTTCTCCAGCTCTGAATACCACAGACCCAGACCGGGGTCCCTCCTAATCCTGTGTTTTAAATATAAGCAACAGGGCTTCCCTGGTGGCGCGGTGGTTGAGAGTCCGCCTGCCGATGCAGGGGACACGGGTTCGTGCCCCGGTCCGGGAAGATCCCACATGCCGCGGAGCGGCTGGGCCCGTGAGCCATGGCCGCTGAGCCTGCGCGTCCGGAGCCTGAGCTCCGCAACGGGCGCGGCCATGACAGTGAGAGGCTCGACAGTGAGAGGCCCACGTACCGCAAAAAAAAACAAAAAAACCCCGAAATAGCTACCAGTGACTCCTTTTGTACAATGTGTTATTTTTGTGGTGAAAATACCTACCCATTAATTTGCCTGATAAATTTGAATTTTCTAAGTTTTCTAGGATCAGAACTGTGATGCTTTTCAGTAATTTATATGAGACTGATTGCTCTTTTTTTTTAAATTGAAGTATAGTTGATTTATAATGTTGTATTAATTTCAAATATAGAGCAAAGTGATTGAGTTTTAGATATATATATTCTTTTTCCGATTCTTTTCCATTAGAGGTTATTACAAAATATTGAATATAGCTCCCTGTGCTATCCAGTAGGATCTTGTTTATGTATTTTATATATAGTAATGTGTATCTATGAATCCCAAACTCCTAATTTATTCCCCCCCATTCCCCTTTGGTAACCACAAGTTTGTTTTCTATCAGACTGCTTGCTCTTGCCTTCTTTTGTGGTGTTCATGCCAGTGACTCTTCTGTTGTGTGGAACCGTTTATTTTCCACGTGAATATTTTTTCTCGTGGCATATTTATTCTTAGGTTTTGTTTTTTAAATACACATTCACTCTTGAATGTTTCAGGCAGCAGCAGCAGCAAGATCCACCAGGACATCCATGTGGAAAGCCGAACACAAGTTCAGGAGCACTTGACAGTGATCTCGGTATGCCTCTCTGATCCTATATCCCATTTGTTATCTGCATGCTCTGTTTGACACCCAGACTCCATGTGATTTTTGGCTTTATAGGCTTTTTTTCCTCCTCGCTTTCATTATATTGAAACTCTTGAAGGAATTGGTAATGTACCAAACTTTCTTGGCTTAAGGAGTAGGCTAACTCCTTAGTGTGTATCCTTAAGTGCCCTTGAAGCACTTAAGCAATGTTTTGCTTTAAAATTGTAAACATCACTTGCAACTTCACAGTAATTCGTACATTCTCCAAAAGTTTCTCAGAGATAATGAATATTAGTAGGTGGAAAATAAGTTCATTTTACCACTGGGAAAACTGAAAACACCTGAGTGTAGTCCAGATTACAACAAAGAAATCTAGAGTTACTCCTCAGGCCTTGGTTTAATAATAGGTCTTAAACTTTGGCCAATTATTGGTAGTAGAAATCGAGTGAGAAGGAAACTGTACATGACAAAGAACTTTTAAGTAGAATATGTAAAGAACTCTCAAAACTAAAATAAGAAAACAATTCAAAAAGATGAGTGAAGGATTTGAACAGACACTTCACCAAATATATGGATGACAAATAGCACATGAAAACATGCTCAACATCACTAGTCATTAGGGAAATGCAAATTAAACCCACAATGAGACACCATTACACACCTACAAGAATGGCTTAATAAAAAATTAAATTAACAATACCAAATGCGGCAAGAATCAGAGCAACTGGGACTCATACATTGTTAGTAGGAACGTAAAATGGTACAGCAATTTTGGAAAACGGTTTAGTATTTTCTTAAAAACTTAAACGTACACTTAACCATGTGATCCAGTAGTCGCACTCCTAGGTATATAACCGAGAGAAAAGAAAATTTAGGTTCACACAAAATCTTGTATATGAATCCTTACAGCAGCTTTGTTCGTAATAGCCCCAAACCGGAAACTGCTCACATGTTGTCCTTCAGCTGGTACATGCCACAGAAACTGTGCTACATCCAAACAGTGGACTACTATTAGCAATAAAAAGGAATGAATGGGTACTTTTTCCTAATCATTCTCCTAAGTATAGCTAACAACCCCAGACATTTGTATAAAACAAATATAAGAAGAATCTGAAAGGTAGAAGACAGACTGGCTGAGAAGCTCAGGACTAGAGGAAGACATAGTGGTCAGTATTCTGGATTTTCTTTTTGCCGCAAGAAAAGCCTGCTCTATGGAGCCAAAAGGGACTACTTGGCAAGACAAAAACTTTAAGATAATAAACACTCTAGTCCAGCCAGCCTGGACCAGGTAAATAAACTGGTCCTATTGCCACCCTACCCCATTGACAAAGGCCAAGTAACGTAATGAGGCACATCTCCCGCCTCTCTGGGCCAGAGTGGTGTCAGAAAAAGCCAAGTGGAGAGCTGGGATTTTCTTTTCCTCCAGGAGACAATGATGCCCCCTTTCCCATGGTGTCAGTGGTCTTAGGGAGCCTGGACTTCCACCTAGCAATAAAGAGGCATCCTTCTGGCTTGTCGCCTGGGTGATGTCAGAAGAGGTATAGTGGAGAATCAGGCCATCACTGATTTGAGGCAGTAATGAGGAGACCACCCCCACAGTGCCAGTGAGAAGCAGTAACAAGGCATTCCAACCCCTCCCAATCAGGCAGGTATCAGTGGGAAGCCGGAACTCCCACGGATGTTCAACAGTAGTGGTCACACACACCCTCTCCCCATCTGGAAGCAGCGGGGCACCACCCCTCTTCTGCCACTGGTGCTCATGTCAGAGGAGGCCTGCTGAAAGAGGAGATTTAAATAAGATTCGCGGGACTTGCCTGGAGGCGCAGTGGTTAAGAATCCGCCTGCCAATGCAGGGGACATGGGTTCAAGCCCTGGTCCGGGAAGATCCCACATGCCGCAGAGCAACTAAGCCCGTGCGCCACAACTACGGAGCCTGCGCTCTAGAGCCCGCGAGCCACAACTGCCGAGTCTGTGTGCCACAACTATGGAAGCCCACGTGCCTAGAGCCCATGCTCCGCCATAAGAGAAGCCACCACGATGAGAAGCCCATATGCACCGCAACAAAGAGTAGCCCTCGCTTGCCACAACTAGAGAAAGCCTGCATGCAGCAATGAAGACCCAATGCAGCCAAAAATAAATAAATAAAATTATTTATTAAAAAAAATAAGATTCACATTCTTATAAGATAATACCCCAAATATCCAGGATTCACTTAAAAATCACTTGTCATATCAAGAGCCTAGAAAATTTCAACTTGAATGAGAAAAGACAATCAGTAGACACCATCACCAAAATGACACTGATGTTAGAATTATCTGGCAAGGATTTTAAATTAGCAGCCATCATAAAATGCTCCAGTGAGCAGTAATGAACATGCTTGAAACAAGTGAAAAAAATAGCCTTAGGAAAGAGATAGAAGATATAAAGAAGAACCAAATAGAAATTTTAGAACTGAAAAATAACAATAACTGAAATTTTGAAACTCAGTGGGCAGACGCAACAGGTGGATGGAAGGACAGAGAAAAGAATCAGTGTGAACTCGACAGAACAGTAGATATTACCCATTCTGAGCAACAAAGAGAATTAGACTGGAAAAAATTAACAGAGCCTGAGACCTGTGGGGAAGATCTAACATTTGTGCCATGAGAGTTCCAGAAGGAGATGAGAAAGAGGGTATAGCTGAAAGAGTATTTAAAGAAATAATAGCTGAAAATTCCCCAAATTTGGCAAAAGGTACCAACCTACGGATTCTAAAAGCTGAGTGAACCTCAAACAGAATAAACCCAAAGAAATCCATGCCAAAACACACCGTAGTCTAACTTCTGAAAACTGAAGACAAAAAAAAAAAAAATCTTAAAATCAGCTAGAAACAGCTTGCCTACAGCAATTTGCGTGACATCAGATTTCTCATCTGAAATCGTGGAGGTCAGAAGGAAGTGACAGACATTTTTCAAGTGCTGAAAGAAGAGAAGTCTCAACCCAGAATTCATGAAATTTTCTTCAGGAATGAAGGGGAAAATAATGGCTAAAGGAAGTTCTCTAAACAGAACTGTTAAAAAGTAATTTTGAAACATCAAGAAGGAAAAAAGAACAGTAGAAAGAATAAAAATATGGGTAAGCACAACAGAATTTCCTTTTCAGTTTTCTAAATTACATTTGATAACTGAAGGAAGAATTGTAACATTGATTTGGTTTTTAGCGTAAAATATAGGAAGTACTAAAGGCAGTTATAAACAGGGGAACGTAAAGGGAGATAAGACTTCTTTCATTTGAACTGATATAGCCACTCTGGAAAATAATTTGGTAATTTCTATAAAAACTGAACATACATTGACCATGCAACCAGCAGTTATATTCCCATTTAATACCAGATAAATGAAAACTTCCATCCATGCAAAAACCTGTACATGAATGTTCATAGCAGCTTTATTTGTCATGATCAAAAACTGGAAAAAAACAAATGTCCTACAGTAGGCGAATGGTTAAACACGCTGCGGTACCTCCATACCATGGATACCACTCGGGATTAAAAAGAAACCGTGGACACATGCAACAGCTTGGATGCATCTCAAGGGCATTATGATGAGTGCAAAAAAAAAAAATCTCAAAAGATCTTATACTGTATGATTCTATGTGTATAACATTCTAAAAACGACATTTATAGAGATGGAAAGCAAATTAGTGGCTGCCTGCAGTTAGGGAAGGTGGGGGGGAAGAGAAGTGGGTGTGACTAAAAAGGGATGGCAGGAGGGAGATCTTGATGGTGCCATACAGTTCTCTGTCTTGATTGCGGTGGCGGTGGTTACACGAATCTACATGTATGACGAAGTCCCAATATTCAGATTTAGGTTTGAGCTGTAGTTATGTAAGATTTAATTATTAGGTGAAATTTAGCCAGAGTGTACACAGGACCTCTCTGAACTATCTTTGCACCTTCCTGTGAGTAAATAATTATTTCTCAGAACAAACTTTTTTAAACTAATTCATCATCGATAGACACAAAGTTAAAATTTCTTCCCCTTAGCTGAATGCTTTTAAGTGAAAGATGCCATACTGAAAGGCTACATACATAATGATGATTCCATTTGTGTTGACATGCAGGAAAAGGCAGAACTGTAGGGCAGAGAACTGATCAGTGGTTGCCTAGACTTAGGGCTTGGGGATTGACTACAAAGGGGCAGGGCGAGGGAATATTTTTGGTCAGTGGGACGGTTCTGTAGCTGGGTGATGATAATGGTATACCACTCTATGTATTTGTCAAAACTTACAGAATTATAAAAGTGGATTTTATTGTATGTAAACCTTTAAAATCAACAAAGGAAACTATAGTAGTCAAACAGTTTCTAAGAGCTTACCTTTTGACGACTTTGGAAATTTTCTAGAAATTTCTAAGAAATATGTGTTTTATCCCCAACAGGTGATGCTATGAGTGAAGAAGACATGCTTCAGGCAGCTGTGACCATGTCTTTAGAAACTGTTAGAAGTAATTTCAAAACGGAAGGAAAAAAATAATATCTTTCACAAATCATTTAGATATTCAGTCTTTCCAATATTGTCCTGTGTGTTTACAGCATAGGGTCCATTTTGGTAATGTGTCAAAGAGAACAATTTTCAACAGAGGAAATAAGACTTAGGTGGTTTGCAAACAAAAAGTTGAGAGGGTGAAAAATACATCCGTTGTAGGACTAAATAACGATCCTCCAAACACTAGCCAAAGAGGCATTCAGCAATTAAAGAAATTTAAAATAGTTTTCTAACTGTTCTTTTTTCTTTTTTGAGTGTGCAATATCTAACATGTTTAAAATTAGGGCATTTTTCTTGGCTCTTTTTGCAGACCAACTAATTATAACCAGCTATTGCCACAGAACTTTTCCCCCACATTTTATCTTCTTTTCCTCCCTTCTGCATAGGGAATTTGGCTGACTTTCATCATCTAAAAGTTGCTCTTATTTCTCTTTAACCAAATTAACCTTTTAGGACAGTGTCTCCTCTGTGTTGATAATAGTAACAGTTCCAGAAGGATAAGCTGTTTACCCTCTGACTGTATTGTGCACTTGGGTGTTTTCTCATGTTATTTTCTCTGATCACAGTTTCTCTGCTACGTGGTTTTCATTACTTTCTACAACTCTTTTGAAAGATGGTAATGTTTCTTGAGGTTTTGCTTTTTAAGCCCTCTAAGATGGGATCATTATTTCATGATTCTGGTGCATTCCTAAACTCTGAAATCAGCTCTGCACAAGTATTTGAGAATAAATGAGAATTTTGTTAATGTGTGAGCACATCCTTTCCCAAATGCTTTGTGAATATCTTCTCAGTTATGTCAGAACTGTATAGGTTTGCTGTAACCCTCTTTCCTGCACCTTGTTATTTCCTTTTCTTTTCCAATTGAGAAAAATAGGAGAAGCATAGTGTGCAAGTTTCCTACTGTTATAAAACAACATCCAGTGCCCACCATGAATGTATGATAGATAAAATTTGGCCTTCAATTTTAGTAGGAGTTTCATTTTATTTTTCCTCTTGTGACTGGAGCTGTCTGTTCTGTTTACAATTGATTCATGAAGTGCAGATGTCTGCTTCTGCTGTACATCTTTTAGTAGGTATAGTCTGCCAGAGATAATGATCTAGAACATGAAAATAACTTACCAACAAAACTACATTTAAATTTATACTGTGATTTAACACGTGCATCATGTTTAAATAGCTTAGAATTACAGAAGTCACAGTACTTACTGGGTTTGTAAATAAGAAAGTCTTTAGTTTTGATAAACATTCTTTAATTGGGATGCAGAGTTTCTTGCTGGGTCAATGCAGTGGGATGATTTCAGTGAAAATTAACCATGTCTCTCTGAAATGGACCTTTTAAATTCTGTCATCTACTCCCCTTCATTCTCCATCCCCCTTTGAAGCCCCTTTGAATGATGAATTGTTCAGAAGCTAAAATTTAAGAAGAAATTTCAGCGGACAACTTAGAAAATTAAAGTATGATATGTTGCCATATCCTGGTGTATGGCTACACACATTTTATCAGGGAAAAATTTTTGATGTAGGATTTATTGCTAACTGAAAAGAGATGAAAAACTGCCTTTTATTTATGATTATGAAATAGCTTTTTCTTGGATAGAGACAGATTTTTTTTTAGTCATTATTTTGTGCCAAGTAAGTTTTCTGAAGTTTCCCTTACATAAAATTAGATGGTTTTCTTTTAAAATCTAAAGTTTTCTTTTGACAATTGAAAATGTTTTAGAAGAATTACAAAACTTTAGAACTACAAGGGATGTTGGAGTTTGATACTACTACCTATGATTTACAAACCAAAATATTTTAAGACTGGACATTTCTGTAGTTATCCCAAGTATGCTAGTCATATTTTCCATGGATATTCGGCCTGTATCTTTTCCCATTGAAAAATTACGTTAAACTTTTCATATATTTGAATTGATGAGCTACCTAATATAAAAATGAGAAAATGAATATACATTTAAGTTTTAACCTTAAGAGTTAGGGTTAGTTCTTATATTACACACCCTTGTTAAAGCACTTAAAGAAATGTGGCATGTTGACCTTCGTTTGTTAGGGATTTTTTTAAAGCAGGGCCGAGCACACACTGGATATATTTGAATGTGTTTATTTAGTTGTGAAATTGTTATATTTGGCAGGCAGATTCAGAATCACTAGTGAACTGCCATCTTGTATGGATTGGCATATATTTAACTGAACATTTAGATTCCATTTCTTAATCAGTTGGCCAGTATGAAAAGATGCCAGTGCTCATAACCACAGTAAGAAAATTTTAAAGTTACACAAAGCTATAGTTCACACATCAGGAAGTGCTGTTTACTTTAAACCACCTACAAGTCAGGAACAATGCAATTCACTGTCCTAAGAACTTTATTTATATAAAGATTTCCATTCTGTTTTACCAATTGGGAACACCTTAATGTTTAATATTTAAACTATTGGTATCATTTTTCTAATGTATAATTTGTATTACCGGGATAAAATACGTACCATGACAATGCTAGTATTATAAGTAAAGTTTAAACAATCTTTGGAAATAACACTTTCATACTTACAGATGTCATGGATTTAATAAGTAGTTATTTATGTTTTAAAAATTCAGAGAAGTTAACATCTGATCTAAACCATCAATGTACATTTTTATAGTAATTAACATACGAATATTTCAGTAATGTAAATTGTTTGAGGGGGCTTCCCTGGTGGCACAGTGGTTGAGAGTCCGCCTGCCGATGCTGGGGACACGGGTTCGTGCCCCGGTCCGGGAAGATCCCACATGCCGCGGAGCGGCTAGGCCCCTGAGCCTGCGCGTCCAGAGCCTGTGCTCCGCAACGGGAGAGGCCGCAACAGTGAGAGGCCCACGTACCGCAAAAAAAAAAAAAAAAAAGTTTGAAAAGGTTGCTGCAGGTAAACTGTATATCAGCTCTAAGATCTTGGCCAAATAGTTTACAATTTGCAGAATATTTAAGGAGGTGCTTTTTCTCTTTAAAACTTAATTTTTCTTAATTAAGACTTTATTCATGCCAAAGTTAACGAGGAAAAACTCAACTAGTTGAGGATCATTATAGGCAAAACTACCCATAGTCTACATTGTTTCATTTAATATTAAGTCAAATAAAGTAAATTTTATGCCAGTAAGAGCTTAAGTCACATTTTTAATGTCTGCATGTTTGATACTATTTTTAAACAGTATCAAGTTAGTGCCAAGATTTACTAAATGTCTTAAAATTGGCCCATTGGACCTGTGCAAATTCAAAAAAGGTTGATTCTCAGTGCATAAGCAAAATATAATGATAATAATTGAAATAGCCTAGAATGAAAACTAAATCATGATGTTTTAAATTCTTAAGAGGATTCAATTATTAATATTGATGACTTTCTATTAAAAACTTTATCTGCAATTGGAGAGGTCTATGGCCACTACTTTCAAAGTAAATTGTTTGTTGTAGCTGGGCCCTAACAAGCATGGAGATGTTACAGATGTGACCTTAATTAAGAAAAATCAGATTGGATTAACTAATCATTTCAGCAATATAAGTAATTTTTCATATTTTCAAAATAAAAACTTTGCTTCATTTCTGGTCCATTTATAACCGTCATCTTTTGCTAAAGAGATGAACCAACTTGTTTTTTAAAGTCTTATACATAAAATATTTTTGTTCCATTTTGCTCTCATGAATGAGAAGATTATTGACATGGTTGGTTAATTCTTGAATTTTTATCTTTTTTTTTTAATTTGAAGAAAACCTCTGCTATTTTAATTTTTTTGCAAAATGGTCTGGCATTTTAAGAATTAATGCTAGTAACCACTTCTAAATTTATAGCAATTGGCATGTTTAATTATAATAGTGTATCAATAAATATTTTAAGACTATGGATTCATAGACTAGGAATGGGGACCATTAGTGAAATATATGTGGAAATGCCTGATTCATTTAGGAAGCACTTCACTTGGCTCCTTCATATTTCAAAGGTGAATGTTTTCAGGAATTTTTTTTAAAGAGGAAAACATACATTTGAATGTGATTATCTAATTTCTACAACATTGGACTACTAGGAATAACTTTAAAAATTACTGTTCTGTACAAATAAACTTTGAAATTCAACTACCAAAAAACATCTGAAGTAAAAAGCATTCTTTTGGCCATGACACAAGTGCACTGTGGCAGTGCCATTTCTCAGGACCCAACTCTGCAGCCCTTCTGTGTGTGCTCCTCTGAGTTGTTTTGCCGTTAATACACACACAGGCCTTCCTGTCTGGTCCTTAGAAAAGCCGGGCTTCCAAAGCACTGTTGAACACTGAGGATACTGTTGTTAATGTGGATGTTCGATGAGTTGTATTTTAAATATCAAAGATTATTAAATAAAGATAATGTTTGCTTTTTTACTTCTGTTTTTATTTGTGTTTATTGTTAATTTATAGCTTTGCATTCAAAGTATGGTTGGAGCATCTACACCCTCAGAGCTTCTGAGAAATGCAGAGTTTCAGGCCACACTCCCACCTACTGGATCAGAACCTGCATTTTTAACAAGATCCCCAGGGGATTCACATGCAGAGTGAATTTGAGAAGCATTTTTTTATGGCTGTGGTGATGAATGAAGCAGGTCAGGGGAACCCACTGATTCTCCATTCCAACTACTGCTGCCAGAAGGCCCATTGTTACTGGATCCTCTGATCTTTTCTAAGAGAGGCTAAGAATTCCATATTTTTATTTGAAATCTGATTTTAAAATGTTGGCTCAGTTGCTTTTTTAACCCTGAGAGCCAAGCAGAGCACATTAGTGACAGTTTTAAGCGTGCCATTTTTCCTCATTTTATCCAACTCCGGACACCAGACTAACAATTGGAATCCACCTGGACTGATTGAGGGTTATAGAATCCTCAGGTTTTATAATGAGCATTGTATATCCATTTTAGCTTTACTTAGGGTTGGGCACGAATTTTGAAACAAAAATTTCAAATTGATCACATGCATCTTTTTAGCATAACTTCATAGCTTAGTCCTCAGATGGACCAATCCATTGAATTTGGATGCCACCAAATGACTCTGATCTCATCAACATCACCTGTGGGCCCTATGAAACGTACAAGCTGATTTGAATGCCCATTTTATGGTTAGCTAAGAACTTTTATAAAGGATAGGCAAACTTTGGGTTGTCCTTATCCTGAAGATTTGCGTGTTTCAGGATCCTTTCATCCATTTTGTGTCTGCATCGCCAATGCTTATCGTTTAATTTTATAGGTAATTCGGGTCCAGCTGACCTCTTACGCCTCTACTCTTGACATTTCCCCTTTTCACACTATGGTCCTAGCAGGCCTCCTTATAGGTCTTCAAAGAAGCCGAGTTCTTTCTCACCCCCAGACACCCTAACACTCTCGTTTACCCCTTGGGTATCCCTGTCCCTAAAGGTCATTGGCCTGCTATGAGGACTTTCTCTTTCAACTGGACTGCCACTCTTCTCTGGACCTTATTCTCTCAAGATTGTTCCAGTTCTCCCTGGGTCAGAATCCCCAACCACCCTTTGTCTCATGGGCTACAAGAGAAAACCAATTCCTTATTCATTCACTCACTCAGCAAGACCTGTGTGCGTTCACCATGTGCCTGGCATGGTTCTGGGTTCTTGGAACAGAGCCATGATTAAGATACTCTGCTCTGCTGGTGCTTGCATTCTGATTGGCCATTAGGCAGAGGAAACATCTGAATTACTGAGCATGGCTTCATAACATGTTAAGAGCTATGCTTGTTCTGTGAGATAGGAAGACAAAATGATGATGTGATAGCATGTAACTGGGAGGGAGTGCTGTTTCAGACTGGTTTCAAGGAAGGCCTCTGCAGAGGTGCCTTTCAGACACCTGAAAAATGAGGAGGCGCTATACTGCCTGGGGAAACAGCAAAAAGCACAATGACTCTGGGGCAGACAGAGGTGGTTGCTTGTCTCTGAAGAACAGAGCTGGAGAGGCTAGCAGGTAATGAACAAAAGCTGGAACTGGGATGTAGGCAAAATCTTATGTACAGTTTTATAAAGATAAGTTTGAACTGTATTTATATTTTATTACACCAAACAATCTGATTCTAGAATATTCTCTCCTCTAATCCTAAGCCTTTTTTTAAGAAAATCTTTTAAAAGGCCCATTAACTACATCTTCTACCAAAGAGCCTTCCATGCCAGTGTCCACCTTAAGCAACCCGAAAAACTGAATTTTTAACACTAAAGGTATATTGCTTAACCTCTCTCAGATCAGAATTTTAGGCAAGGCTCCCACTTCCCACTTGTGCATTTTGTTTTCCTTCCCGTTATATTTATGCAGTATTTTTCATCACTGTCAGAAACTACCGTTTTGAAAACTTAGCATTGTATTGATATTTTGCTTGTCAATCCACATCATCAATTGTAGTGATTAATATCTGAGTAGCTCCCTTTGGTCCTTCTCAGCCACTTCTAGTCCAGGACATCATCATGTCACATATAAGCATGTGCCATAACATCTTACCCGTTCACTTGGCCTTTGGCCTCTCTGTTTTTGAAACCAGCTTTCCCAAAGCTCTTTAGGCCTGTCACTCCAATTACCTTTAAGTGAACCTTCATTACTGTCAACATGTTATCATATGAAATGATGATGTGTAAATATTGGGAAGGATGATGCCTAATTATTTGCTGATATGATTGTACACCTAGAGAACACAAGGAAATTAACTGAAAAGCTACTGGAACTAATGAGGGAGGTCAATAAGTCAACAAAAACCAATAGCTTGTTTGTATACCAGCAATAACCTGGTAGAAAATAAGACGCAAAAGTACCACGCTCAACAATGTCTAATCCTTGGAGCACCAGACGGGTCCTAAGTTCCAAGCAAAGGCGAGTGGAATGGCCTTGTCTCAGCCCCAAACCACACATTGTCACACAGGCCCTGAGAAGCTCTGCTGGTACCCAGAGTCCTGCTGAGTCTCTCAGAAAATCGTTCAGTGGGTTCTGGTATTCACCCCTCTAAAGTGGCTCAAACCTAGTGCCAGAGGCCAGGAAGGAGCTGATCCCACACCTTTCATGCCTTCTCCAAATAAGATATGTTTCCTCCAAAAGCTGTGTTTCTCTTCTGCACAAGGGTAGCCCTGTCTCCAACACTGAAAACATTCTCAGGCCCAAAGCAGACTTAGCTTTTTGGAACAATCATCTGAACCGTCTCCCAGGGACTTTTCGTTAAGTGCAGAGGGTTACTGTGTGATTCTACTTACGAGGTCCTTAGAGCGGTCAAATCCAGAGAGACAGGAAATAGAATGGTGGTTGCCAGGGGCTGGGTAGAGTAGGAACTAAGGGGTTGTTATTTAATGGGTACAGATGTAGATTTTTACAACATGAAGGGAATTCTGGAGATGGATGGTGATGATTGCACAACAATGTGCATGGACTTAATGCCACTGAACTGTCTAATTAAAAACAGTAAATTTTATGTATATTTTTTCACAATAAAAAATACATAGGATTGATCACTGTATTTACTCCCTTCCAAAATCCCACCTAAATGAAAGTAAAGGGACTTCCTTGGTGGTCCAGTGGTTAAGAATCCGCCTGCCAGTGCAAGGGAAATGGGTTCGATCCTTGCTCCAAGAAGATCCCACGTGCTGCGGAGCAACTAAGCCCGTGCACCACAACTACTGAGGCCATGTGCTGCAACTACTGAAGCCCACGTGCCTAGAGCCTGTACTCCGCAACAAGAGAAGCCACCGCAATGAGAAGCCTGCACACCACAATGAAGAGGAGCCCCTGCTCGCCACAACTAGAGAAAGCCCGCGCACAGCAATGAAGACCCAACACAGCCAAAAATAAATAAAATTTTAAAAAAAGGAACTACATAAATGAAAGTAAAGAAAAAAATATAAACTCATAAGCACAGAGAGACCAGCAGAAGAGATGAATTCATTAGATTAGATTTGACTGTCATAGAAAAACCTAATATAGCAGTGACTTTACACGCTACAAATTTTTTTCTCTCTCACCTTCAGGAAATGTAGAGATTGCCAATCCAGGGCTGATAGGGCATCACACAGTGTCAGGAATCTGCTTTCTGTATTCTTGCTTTACATACATGGCTTCCATTGCTAATGTCAATTCATGGATCTAAGACAGCTGCTATGGTGCCCATGCTTACATCTGCATTCCAGCAATCAGAAAGCAAAAGGAGGGTGGGAAAAGGCCACGTGCCCTTTCTTTAAGGTCACCTCCTTAAAGTTGCACACACCACTTCCACTTATATGACCCCCAAGGATAGGTGTGCACGAAAACGGTAAAGGGGTGACGGGCTCAGAAGGGGCACTGGCATCTTTTACTGTACCATTGTCCAGGTAAAAAGTGACAGTTCGGTCTTCCCTGGTGGCGCAGTGGTTGAGAGTCCGCCTGCCGATGCAGGGGACACGGGTTCGTGCCCCGGTCCGGGAAGATCCCACATGCCGCGGAGCGGCTGGGCCCGTGAGCCATGGCCGCTGAGCCTGCGCGTCCGGAGCCTGTGCTCCGCAACGGGAGAGGCCACAATAGTGAGAGGCCCGCGTACCGCAAAAAAAAAAAAAAAAAAAAGTGACGGTTCAATTACTATGCCCAAAGGGGAGAACAGACTTTGGGGAACAATTAGCAGTCACTGCCAGTTGAGGCAACAGCAGAAGAGAGATGCGAACTTTTCTCTGGAAGACGGCGAAAGCTGATACAGGAATGAGCAGAACTGAGGAAGGTGCATACTAAGTATTAAAGAGAAGGACATCCAGCAGTACCCAGGACATGAAGCAACAACTATCATGGAAGGTGGGGGTGAGATGTGGATGGAAACCAGGTGGATTGATTAAAAATATCCGAAAAACAGCTGCTTCCCTAGAGAGGGGCCATTCATCAATAAAAAGTATTTAAAATAATTTGCAGAACTAAAAGACATGGTTTTTGAAAGGGTTTGCTGAGTCTCCAACATAATTAATGAAACAACAAACCCACCCCAAGGCACATTACTGTTAATTTCAGAGCATCACAGATAAAGGGAAGCATCTACGAGGTTCCAGAAAGAAAAACAAGGCCCAGAGAATAGGTCAGGGGAGAGTGGAGCAGGGAAACAGAGGACTCCGGTAGAAAGGACTGAGTCTAAGCAAATAATAGAATTCTTGATACTTTCTTGAAGAATTAGGAGCATGTTTTACAATTCTGTTACTAAGTTTTAGAAGGATTAGTGATTCTGTAATAACAGAAAATTGTGCAAATCTAAAAGATGGAATTTGTTAACTTCAGGAAGAACAGAAGTTTGAAAAATAAAGGAAATGTTATCTTAGCATACCATGTGGCTCAGCAATGAACAACACTTATGTAGTCATATAAAGTAAACTTTAATTAGTGATGTTACCAATAATTATGATA